AAATCCGAAATATAGTGACAAAAAATTCAAGCGTAAAAACTATTTTCATCAAGGATTGCTTGACACAGAAGATCCAGAAACACATCAAATAACCGCAAGAAATTGGAGAAACGAATATATGCCCGGAAATACATTGTTCCCTATACAGCGAGGAAATTTTCATAACTATCCAATATCGCAAAAACAAGCCAGGAATGAATTCAAGGAATACTTTATGATACCGTTGGGTGAAGTTACAAACCAGTATATAACTATTCAATCAATTCTGTTTGATATGTTTGTCAATAAAAATATTAATGAAAAATATAAATGTGGTTACACTTTTTAATTTAATATTGATTTTGTTGGCAATGAACATTTTGTTTCCCTTGTATTTAGAATTTTGGTGCTATTTAGATAACTGTCAAAATTAATAAGTTTATTATTTCTTTGTGTAACTTGAGTAGCTTTTCGAACAAAGAGGAACTAAATTCAAATTGTAGATATCTTGAAATAAATAATGCAACATAATTCTAGCGTAATTTTTTAAAATTGTTCAATGTTTTTCTTGTAGAATACCCATCTATATTTTCTTCCCATTAATACACTGTAGTGACGACCCTGGATCTAAAGAATGCAATTTGTGAATTGAAACGTAACAAAGAAATCTTGGCTTTACACTATTGATCAAATTGGTATGGAAATAGTCTGTTATTTAATATGGCAAAAAATTACGGATATTCGTAGAAATTCCTGTAACTTTTGTTCAGGGTATAAATCTCCATTGCCAAAGCCAAGCTCGACACAGGCACATCATATAATATAAAAAAACATGTTGTGTTTCTGGGAATGTTCCAACTAAATTTACATAATCGACTTTTCCGATCACTTTCCCTGTAGAATTAACATCGTGATTCACATAATAATACAAAACAAAAATGAGATTAACTAAACTTGGGATAAAATAAAAACAACGAATGCATTTTTTGTTTGTTTTTGGTTTTAATGTATTAAAGTAAAAAACCTATGTGTGAAATTCCAATAATTACGATATTTTTTTTTGGTTCTTTATATTATTTTATATTATGCATGTAGTATAGTATAATATTTGCTGTAGGCTTCTAAATCTGTTTTTTTTTTAATAATTTTATAAAGTTTTATTAAACTAATTTATTAGGTAATCCAGATTAACTGAGAAAACACTAAATATTCAAATTATTTACTATTGAAGGACTATAAGTTCTAGTTAAAATAAGAAGTGTTTTTTTTTTTGTTAATCAACCTATTTTATATTTATTTTAATTCGACATTGAATTTTTATGCGTTCTGTTATATTTTAGGTATTTATTTTTAAACAAGGTAATTGATTTTTGTTTTCTTTTTAATTATTAAAAGTATTACGTTATAGTATATTATCCAGCCACATGTAGTTTCATTAACAGTAACACTTTAATTTAAGATGACAAAACTAAAAAAAAGACCATAATAGAAAACGAGGCGACAATTTTACTCATGATGTAGTTCATTTTATAATAACGAGTTGGAAAAATATAAAAACATTAAAGAAAATAAAATGTCTCACCATTTCTTAACAGAAGAAGAAGGCTCGTTGGGAAAATGTCGAAAATTATTTTGAAATGAAAAGGGAAGTTATTGTAATATGTAATTGGTATTATTATTATTATTATTAGTAAAATATAGATAATCACATAAAACATTTCGATGAATGAAATAAATTACTTAATTTATGTGGTAGATACAATTTTTGAGTAATTTATTTTATTCATTAATTTGTTTTGTATATATCCATATTTTATCGAAATATCGAGCAGAAACATTATTTTTACCAAATGGAACAGAATACGAATCAAAACGGGTAAGTCTTAAAATTATATGATCCTTTAAAAATGGTTTTAAGTGGATAAAATTAAATTTTTCTTGTATGAGTAATATACCGAGTCATGCCCTAGAATTAGGATATAATCATGCTATAATGAATTTGGTAGGAATTGCCATTGCCATTTTTGTTTACCTGGAATGTTATATTTTTATTAGTCTTCTATATTATTTCTATGCTAATAACGCGGTGGATGCTTTGTTTAGGTACGTTATCTGTTATCATAAATTGAATGTATAGTTTCATTAAACATTTGTGCCTGTACTTGCCGTCCGCATATGTCTTCTATCCACCAGCAGATGGTGTTTTCTATTCCATGTTTGCGAGCGGCAGCTACCATTGATTTAAAGGAGGTATTATCAAACGCTCCTTATATGTCAAGAAATGCTCCTAGGAGTATTTCTTGGCTACTAAGTACTCCCTCTATCTTGGTTACAAGATGATGCAGAACAGACTCACAAGATTTTTCTGATTGATAGGCATGTTGGTTTGTATGAAATGGCCTCGCTATCAGAGTGGTTTGCCGGACATGCTGATCAATCAGTTTTTCCAATCCTTTCAATAGACATTACGTCAGAGATATTGGTCTATAGGCCTTTGCCACGGCATACGTTGGATGCCCCGGTTTAGGTATGAAAACAACTCTGCTTTCTTTCCAGGTAATTGGTACATGTTTATGCACCAAACTTGCCCTGTAGAGCCTACAAATATGCGGGGCCAGCGTTTCTATTGCTTGTTGCAAAAACACAGGCAGTACCCCATCTGGTCCCGGTGATTTGTATGGATTGAAGGTGCGTATTGCCCATGTTACTTTCTCTGTTGTAACTACCCGTTTAGCAGTTTCCCACCCTTGGCTGGAGACCCTTTTTTGAGAGTTCCAGTTCGTGTGGGTTTGGTTTGCTGCATTCGAGGTTGTTGTGCAATCAGGGAAATGAGTTTTAAGAAGTAGTTCTAATGTTTCCATTCCAGTTTTAGTGTATTCCCCTGTTTGGGTTTTTAAAGTCCCCGCAGGGTTTATTGGATCTTTTGCTAGAATGCGGTGGAGTCTGCATCCTTCAGTTGTATTTTCAATTTCCTGACAGAATGTTCTCCATGAATCCCTCTTAGATTTCCTAAGAGTTTTGTTATACTCTGTGAGTGTTTCGGTGTATTCCCTCCACTCAATCGTCTTTTTAGCCTTATTAAAAAGTTTTACGTGTTTTCCTTCTGAGTTTGGCGAGTTCGGTGTTCCACCAGCTCACTTCCCTAGAAGTTTTCCTGTTCTTTAACGAGCAGTTATTGTGATATGATGTTATAATTGCGTCCCGTAGTTGTTCTGCAACTTCATCTATATCATTTTTAGTATTAAGAGTTATTTTAACGATTTTTAACACTCCCCAGCTCCAATCCGTATCCAAACCAATCGGTTTTATGTGGGTCTCGGTATACATCTCCTGGTTTATCGACGTTGTCGATTTCCATGAGAATATGCCGATGGTCTGAGAGCGAAGGCTCTCTAGAGACGTACCACCTGCCAATGTGATTTGAAACGAAGGAAGAACCAAGGGTAGTATCAATAACCTTGCTCCGTCTACTGGTTACAAAAGTAGGTTCGTTTCCACAATTCAGTATTTCCAGGTTAGTGGTTAGAATGAATTCAAGTAAAGACTCACCTCTTTTGTTTTTGTCCTTGTCGCCCCATGTTATATGGTGTGAATTTGTGTCAGCAGCAATGAGTACCTTCAGGTTTTCGGCCCGACAGGTATCTACTAAAACCCTCAGCTCATCTGTTGGTGAAGGGCTGAGTCATAGGGAAGGTATGCAGAGGTTAAAATGAGTGGCCTCTTGTTGCCTGCTATGATTATTTCCATCCTGACTGCTACTAGGTCTCTAAAACAGAAATCTTGTAAGTTGAGGATGTCTAGACCATTTCATATATACAAGCTCTACTGTTTCCACATTGGGTATTGTATATTAACTTACCTTTGGTTTGTCCGAGCCACATCACATGCCCTTTGTAGATCTACGAAAGATGCTATTATAGCACTATCTACCAAAATACTAACTGCTCTAGATGAAAACAGTCCATATCTTTGTGTATATCTAGACCTCTTGAAAGCATTTGATACTGTCAGTCACCGTTTACTTTTGGATACCTTAAAATAAGCAGGTATAAGGGACACATCACTCTAATTATTTGAAAGTTACCCTACAAACCGACAAGTTACAAGAGTAAATGGTGTCTACAGTGATCTAGGATCCATAACTTACGGTATCCTACAAGGTACGATGCTCGGTACTATTCTATTTAATCTTTTCATCAACGGATTATTTTCTATCGAGAGTTCAGGGGAAGTTTTGGGATTCGCGGACGACACTTCAATATTTTATAAAGCAAACTCATGGCTAGAACTAAAGCAAAAAGTTAAACAGGATCTCCCAAATTTGAAAAGCTGGCTTGACAGTAAGTTGCTGTCACTAAATGTAGATAAAACCCACTTCTTATCATTCAGTAATAATATTATAACAAGAATTAACTTTTCCTGCTTCTGGACAAACACCATTCTCCCTGAAACAATATAAAATATCTAAGGGTTTACATGGAGAGAAAACAACTTTTATATGTCAAAAATTAAGAATAATGATATATACATTTAAAAATATAAGAGATTACAACCACATCAACTTAAAATCTTGTATCATAGCTTAGTAGAAAGTCATTTGAGATGCCATCAATGTGTGGAGTTGTACTTTACAAACACATTTACAACCACTTAAAGTTCTGCAAAAAAGATTTTTAAAAATAAAGCTCAAAAGGCCCTACAGATATCCTTCAAACTCATTGTTGAGACAAATGTTATGGATCTAAAACAATTTTTTTTTTATTATAATATTAAATATCATTCAAATAAACAACCATTTAACTTACCAGATCACAAGGGCGGCTCCAAGACGAATTTTCAGAGAGGGGGGGGGGTATTGCCTTTAGATATTCCCTTTTTAGCATATTTTTTTAAGTAAAAGGCTCATAAGTCTTAAGAATTTTCTTATTATTATTATATAGATCGCGGTGGAAGTCAACGAGATTATCCCTCTCATTTTCACACTTCACCCCGGAAAAATATAAATAAAAAACAAAGGTCATAGAAAAATACTTTATTAAAATAAATACGAGTCGACTATTTTTGTTTCAAATTTGGATATTATGGAAAACCTGCTTTTTCCTTTTTCACTAACTTTTTAATGAAGGTTTAAAGCCCACATCTATCTTTTGGGTGGTTATAGATAAATTTAATTAATCAAAAATGTAATACAATTCTAAAAAAGCAGTTTATCCTATATTTCACTAATTCAAAACGTATAAAAAAATATATGTCGACCGTATTTAATATATTTTACAAATAATAATGATATATTTATCAAATTTTAAATTTTACAATAATAATTGACAATTTATCAATTATATAATATATAATGGTATTTAATACTTTAAAGCACCTTATCTACGACCACTTTATATGATAACATCAATATGGTATGCAGTGTGTCCCACAAAGTTTTTAAACAAATAGGAATATGTTTTTCTTACATTAAAAAAAATTATGTTACTGATAAAAAGTTCTGCATCACTTGGATTTCCAGTACACACTATAGATTTAGTCTTGGAATATTAATTGAATAAAGTAAATCAAAATCACTTAAAAATTCCTATCAACATTTTGCTCTATATTCAAATTTAAAAGAACTATTCTTCATTATAAATTATAATATTTATTTTCCCTGTATACCATTTATATTTTACAAAATTTTATAATACTTATTTGATTATGGATTTCCAAGAATTTTTTTGTGAAGAATATTTTTTTTATGAAATATTGTATGAAATTTTGTATAAAAATATGATTTTACTCATGACACATTTAATGAAAAAATTACGTGAGTAACAACTTCATAAATTAGACAATGCTATTTAAATAGCGTTTTTATTATTACAAAATTTGTAAATTTTAAGTTACCTTGGTTATATTCAATTGATTTTTTCTATACAACAACAATGCAGCCAAAATTGACAGTAATGCCATAATAAATTGAGTCACATGACTATTTTTTCTTTTACTTTAGACATTTTATTTACTTTTATGCCTCAATAATTTTTTTTATAATAATGCGTTGAATGAAAACTTTTGCCAATAAATAAAATAAATATCAGTAATACTGTCGCGCCTCCTGGTGCCTACTAAAAGCTAATTAATAATACATTTATTATGACAGAAGTAATTTCACTCGGCATTACTATCGATAAACAATATTTATTTTCTTCGCGATAAATTAAGGATTAAAAAAATGACGCTTAGTAGAGCGGTGGTAACCCGGATTTTCTTAAAAATTAAATCTGACGAAAATTCTCCTATTAAAGGATATTTTTTATTATTTTTTGATACAGTGACGAATAAGGTATTAACGTTACCTCGTGATCGATGGTAGTTAGTGAATTAAAAACTTTACTGATTGCCGGAGTTGTGAAGGGTCTATCGACTCGAGGAAGCTTGGATGTTGAGAAATTAAGTCGGTGACAATTTTTTTATACTACGGGTACACAAGCTATGTACACAAGCTATATAAATGGAATAAAAGTATATAAAAAACAAAGAATAAACTAAAAAATAGCCTCTTTATATGGCCAAACTTATGTCAATTTTAATTTGTTAGGTAGACTTTATTGTTCTTGTTTAGAAGTTTCACAGATGTCACAATAGATCCGTCTGGGTCGCAGTGGAAGACTCATTTTTTGTAATGACACCAAACCCGTCAAATTTAAATAAGACAGTCGTTATAGCGTTTAAGCGATAAATCCAGACTTTAAATACTCAATTTTAATAATTATACTGAACTATACCCCTTTATGACAGCATCACCAACTATAAGCCTGTGAACATCACTGACGCCCCCATAAATTTCAGTTATCCTCGCATCTCTGTAGTGTCGTTCCGCCGGCATGTCACTGACGTATCCCATCCCACCGAGAATTTGAATAGCACCGTGCGTAACGAATGTGGAAGCTTCGCTGGCTGCCAGTTTGGCCATCGACGATTCTTTTGTCGTTCTATTAGGTTGGTCGCAACAGGACGCCGCCCTCCAAACCAGTAATCGAGCTGATTCCAATCGTAGTGACATTTCCGCCAGTCTCAACTAAAAAGTTTTAGTTCATAATTATTTTGTTCATAAAGTATACTTTTTATGTCAAGACTGTAACATTTTAAAATGTTATTTTAATTGTGTGACATCCTGTATTAATTTTAAATTTAATTATCGCTGCACGCAATATTTCTAGGAAAGGGAAATTTCGTAAAGTAGACAAACGATATCGACATCGTGTCTTGAAATTTCATTTTCCGATAATATCTTGAACTATTTACCACTGTCTGGCTGTAAACAGCGGTGATTAAAAATGTCATTAAAAAATATCTCAGTAGAATTTATATTTCTATTTGTTGTTAGTTATAAGTTTATTTTTTATAAGTCAAGTTAAATTTATTAAATATGCTTTTCTAATTCATTTTCGTTGCTGAAATTGCACATTGTTTATGTTAATTAGTTTTTATTAATATCTTGATTTAATTTTAAAAAGTAGTTGTTTAAAATTTAATTTATATCTCATCCAAGAGCCTCGTGAAAAACAGAATTTATTTTTTAGTTTAGAAAGTAAATAGAAGCAGCTAGCATTTTTTCTTCAAAATCAGTCAATATTTTCTATGTTTCGACATAAATATCGCAGTTTTCTGAAGGCAGAACTATATCGAGAAAGAATGAGATTTGGTGTTTGGGCTCAAGGAACTGAATTACAGTAAGACTGTATTGTTATAGAAGTTGCCACTCTAGCCAATATAATGGTAACTATACATGTGGCTAATTTTTTATCTAATGTTCAAGATTTTAATTTAAATAGTTGGTACCAGCATAAACTTAATATCTATATATTCTTTGAATTTTCATACAATTACTTAAATAAACTAATTCATTTTTATACATGTTCAATCTTATTTTTTTAAAGGTTACAACAATTCTTTTTTTACCTAAATTAATTTACTTTTGATAAAGCTAGAGTTTATATTTCTTACTAGCTTTCTAAAAATTAAAAAAAAGGTGTATTATTGGCGCCCTTTCTTTCCTGGAAACTATTTTCCCAAAAGTGTCATTAGAATATGTTATAAGTTTCATAATACATACTTTAACAGCTTCCATCTCACTAATAGGCTTTCCAGAAACCATCCTACATAAAGAATATTTAACAGCTAAATCTAGAGCAGCCTGTCCGATTCCTAAAGCCTGAGCTGCTATACCGACTCGAGCCTTGTCCAACTGCTCCATTGCGATTCTAAAACCATCACCGATCGATCGCAAGATGTTCTCTTTAGGAACTTTAACATTATCAAGAATTAAATTACAAGTAGATGAAGCTCTTATACCTAATTTGTCCTCTTTTTTACCAAGAGTCACTCCTGAACTAGATAGAGGAACAATAAATGCAGTAATACCTATAATAAAAAAAATTATTCAATAATGATCTTGGGTTTAGGGTAGTTTTTTAACCTACCTTTATGTTTCAGATTTTTGTCAACTGTAGCGAATACAACAGCTGCTTTTCCTTCAATACCGCTGGTTACCCAAGATTTTGTTCCATTTAGTATATAATTATCTCCTTCTAATTTAGCTGAGCACGACAAATTTACTACATCACTGCCAGCATCTATAATATTTCACCAGAAATATCAACTATAATCTATTTAGTTGCTCCTATACATTTTGATGCTATATATTTATAAAAATCATTATTAAGAATTTGGTTATGTTGGTAATTTAAGAGGAAAAATAACTACTTTTTAATTTTTTTTGATAACAATTTGAAAATATTAATGAAATTTTATGATGGCATTAGTTAAATGAATTTAAAATAGTACAGTAAGGTTGATCTTCACCCATCTGCTTACTGGATGAAAGGTATTTAATATTAATAAATATATTGCAAATACTATATGCAGACTGACATAATTATACATGCAGTCATTTCAAAGACTACCCTACATGTGATAATAGTCAAACTGTTGAAAAATAAATTAAAAACGTTTCTATTTATGTGATGTTTTTTTTTTAAATACTTAACTAACCTGGTTCACTAAGAGCAAAACAGCCTAAGTCCCCATTTGCATTCAATGGACTTAAAAATTTTAATTTTTGCTCATGATTACCACACCTATCTATTAGATTGGCATATAAACAATTATGGATTGATACAATTGCACCAGTGCCGCCACAGCCTTTAGATATCTCCTCCACTGTCAGTGCCAATGCTAATGTATCCAGACCAGCACCCCCATAATCTTTTGACACATTAACTGATAACAGACCCATTTTCCCTAATTTTTTAACCTTAAAAATATAATTATTACTGGTTAACACATAAGTAATAAAAGGTGGAATATTTTTATTGCTAATTTTAAAAGCTCTATCCATTGCTTATTACGCATTTCAAAAGTTTTAGATCTAGATGAATGAATGAATGGGAAAAAACAAGTTGAAGAGTGCTTAGGATAGACCAAAGAGAAACCAATATACAGACTACATAACTTTGAATTAAAAACATATCTATAAATATTTTTATGCCTAGTAGAATAAGTATTTTGATAAGTCATCAATATGAATTGATAATAATATTTCTTCATTTCCAAAACGCTATATTTACTTACCTGTTCCTTTGGAAATTTGTGTTCCCTATCTAATTGAGACGCTATAGGCTTGAGTTCCTTTTCTGCAAAATCTCGACATGTTTTTTGGAGTAGTGCATGACTTTCTGATAATTTATGGAGACTGAAACTTCTCGTTAGTTTCGATGTATTTGAAACTGTAAATTAATAAGTAAACAAAATAACATTATTCTAATTGTGATTAAATTATCTTACCTGTAAGAAAATAATAAGTTGCTTTGTTTAACGACATAATATAACCGATATATATGTAAAATATCTTAAAATGAATTTATCCTGCAATATTTATAAACTATTAAAGATTTTTAATAATGTTATCTTAGTAATTCAATTGTTAGTTATCACAGCTTGTGTTTTCATGTTACGTATTAATTTAATTATTAAAAATTATCTATAAAATCAGCTTATCAGTATAATTCATTATTTATAATGTTTTATTATAATTCCATTTTTATTTATATTTTATTTGAAGGTTATAAATTTTGAAAACTTTAAATGAGACGATGACAGAAGAATCGATTCATTCGATTCTGAAATATGACATGTTTTACTTATCGAATAGAAAGAGAAATTATATGACAATCGCAGTCTGTCAAACGAAGATAGGTGTCTCGATTTTAAATGAATCGAAAGATGAGAATAGCACGACTGAATGTTTTCGATTATTTATTCGTTCAGAACTTATGTCGTTTTCCATTGGAATGTTCAGTTCGTTCTGAGTTCTTTATCACTTTCTTCTTTTCCATATTGATAAACAAGGACACAAATATACATAGGACCAATGAACTGGAGTGGGGTAGAATGCTTGTCAATAGTCTTGATGTGCGACTCTATGGGCGAAGATAGGTTATTTTTCATCTCACTCGGGAGTATTTAAAATAACCATTTTCTATTTCACATTGTTATTGTCTGATCCACCAGCTTGTGGATTGAACAATAACAATGGTTATTATAAATAGTCCCGAGTGAGATGAACAATAAAAATGGCTGCGCCCATCGAGTCGCACCTTGTTCTAATAGTACAACATGTACATTGGCATTCTACCCCCCTCCAGTTCATTGCATAGGACCGATTCCACCGTTGTGTTAAACGAAGTTTAAAATGACATTTTTACATTACCAATGTCATTTTAATCTCCGTTTAACACAACGGTGGGATCGGCCCTTAGTGCGTATTACCAATGTCGATGGAAAACACCATAAATATTAGGTCTTTTTCTTCGCATCGAAAGTGTAGCACTGAGCTACACCACTTCTGAAAATATCGTTCCATTTATACAAATTGTATGAATGGAACTGAATGGAACGAAGAGAACTAAAAGTTTATTCAACAGAACGTACATAGAATGACAGAACAAGAAAACAAGAAGTAATCATTTCATGATTTCGAAAAATAGTGACATTTTTGACAAGGAACGGAACAAGAACCGTTGAAATTCAAATTATTCATATAAAACGTCAGTGAAAAACACAGACTTTCTGAGCTTCGTATATTAAAATATAGTTGTGAAAAAAGTAAAAGTTAAAAGTAATTGCTTTGTGATAAAAAGCGGTCAGCCATTAGGATATTTTTAAACATACTGCTCTAATATGGATAATATCGAAGACCTTACAAAGAAATATTTGAAACTCAAAGAAGAAAATGAAAATACCAAACAAGAATTGCACGAGTGCAAAAGAAATCTCAAAATTATGCATTCCACCCAACAAGATTACAAAAATGAAGTTGATATGCTTCAATCGGAAGAAATTAAACAGAAGCAAAAATATCAGGAAATTATCAGACAGCTTGAACAAAACATTAATGATGTGAGATCTAAACATAGCGAAGAAATACAAAGTCTTGAAGACACGATTGTGAAAATGGAAGAAAAAATCGATAAGTTAAAGTCGGAGTTATACGTTTTTAAGGATGCCAACATTACTCATTTTCGAGGAGATACCAGCAGTTTAATACAAGAGATTTTATCTGAGCCACCAGAATTTTACGAGAATCAAGAATTAAGAGTAAAATTACAGGAAGTAACGGATGCCAACAAGGCGTTAGAAGAGAAAGTACAGGTAAGTAAATTTCTAAACCAATGTATCATGTTTATTTCAATTAGCTAAAGATAGGTTTTCCAATGTGTACATTTAAAATTGATGAAATCCACCTTAATTTAACACAATTTCAGTGATTTCGTCGGAAACCCCCTTAATTTTATACTATTTCTATGATTTCACAGAAATCTTCCTTAGTTTTATACAATTATAGCAATTTGGGCATAAAATTTCCTATGATTTTCTCTTCTTGAATAGTCAAATGACATTTGTTTTTGTTGAGAACTCTTCATTTAATATTTTTTGACTAATTACTTGTCTTTTAATCCACATTTCTTTATTTAATACCCACCTATTATTTTCTGAATTTTTAGTAAAAACAGCATTTTTAGTAGGATTCTGGTAAATATATTTCAGTTAAATTTGAAACTATACTTAATATGGTAATTTGTTAAACAGTAAATAGGTATCATTCATTGATTTTTCAGGAATATGGCAGAGAATTGGAAAATTTACAAGAAAGTTATGAAGACAAAAAATCTCTATTAAATGAAGCAAATGAAAACAATGTATTTTTAGTTGATGAAAATGCAATTCTTAAAAGTGAATTAGATATATTAAAAAGCAAACCTCTCAATGAAGACAGCAAAGGAAATTCACTATTCGCAGAAGTTAATGATAGGTATTTGAATATTTTATATAATTTGTTTAAAAATGGATATATTAAAATAAATATTATTTATATGTTATTGGTGGCACCCTGAATAACTTTTGATTATTTTAGGAGGGTTTACTTGCAAGATCAAATTAATAAAATGAAACCAACTTTTGTGGCAATGGCACAAGAAAAAGCACAACTTCAAAACATTGTTCATCACCTCAAAATAGAAAATTTAAGACTATTAGACAAGTGGAGTGCTGATATTGACGAAATTGATGATGATGCAGCTGAAATTCAAAGCTCTTTAAGGTATTAAAAATACAGGTTTGTTATTGTGGTGAAATCAATTAAGAAAATGTGTTTCAGGTCAAGAAATAACGTTTTGGAAAAATTAAATGAACAATATGTAAGAGAATTGGCAGAGAAACAATGGATTGTTAGCAAAATTGGTGCTCAGGAAATAGAATTTTTTGAAAAGATGTTAAATGATAAAAAGTAAGTGACATTTGGACAAACAGTACATGAATAAAAGGTTCTTCTGTACTAATTTGTAGTGATTATGTTTAATCAAGTATTCTGATATTTTCACAAACATTTAGGTATCTATAAATCATACAATTTAAATATTTACTTTCTATTCCAGGACTGAAATCAAATTTTTGAGAGAAGAAGTACTAAACAAAACTTTAGCCCAAATGTCATTTGCTAAAGAATTGACAGAAGCAAGGAGGGAAAAGAGGAAATGGAGGCTGGAAGCTATGATGAAACAGCACGAGCTAGAGCTCCTCCAAAGAACAGAACAAACATATAGCAGTAATAAAAACAAGGAAAAAACTGATATGGATATCGAAGATGTAGATCAGAATTACATATATAAAAGAGATAGTAAAATGCCAAAAGAAAGGTTATCTGATGTTAAAGAGGAAGAGCAGTATGATATTGAAAACTTAGATTGTCAATCAGAGGTTTTAAATGCAACTGTAGATAATTATCTGAAAAGAAATACGGGCCTCGAAAATCCTAAAGTGTCCAATATTTCTAAAGCAAAGGATAGCATGTTGGTGAGAAAAGAGAGTAACTGTATTAATGTTGACAAGGAAAATATGTCAGATCAGTCAAGGAAAGTGACTTTTGCCAATGATACTATATCTCCTAAAGTAACTGCTAGAAGAAATTACAGTGTCATATCTAGACCCTCAGTGGAGTTGTGAATATTTAAGATATTGTTTTTAAATTATTATTAAATGTTTGAATATCAAAAAGTCTTTTAATTTATCCCGCCAAAAGCATAAGTAGTTCAAAAACAGGAACATTTCTTGTTTGGAAGAATGCTACACTTCCTACAGTACATTTGTCATATTTTTTGAGGATTAAAATTCATAAAATTCGCTATTTTATAAATAAACAGCAAGTAATAGTTTTTTTTTGTGTAAGATTATTTCGCCTCGTGTAGGCTTTGTTACTGTTTCCCAACGCCACTTTAGGAACAGCACTGTTAATTAGAACCCAACAATGACTGGTCGAGTGGGGAATCCTACCAAGACATCAGAAATAATTAAATGAAAAAATTCCAGCCAATACTAGTTGTTTCCAATTAAGCATTGCTAGATAGAAGTCTCGTTTCTTTAGGAATAAAATAAATAAAATATTTTTGTCTAAATAGTTATATATTTATTATAACTTCAAGTTAACGCATAAAAATTCTTAATAATAATTCATTCATTTTGGATTTCTAAAAACATGATTATAATAAAAAGAGTACAGAAAATTTATCACATACATTAGATTTATCTAATCAAAACTTATTAACTCTGCAGTTTGTGCCTCTCCATTTGTTTTGACTTGTGGACTAGCCGGTGGAGCTCCAGGCTGCTGAAATTGGGGCGACATCTGCAATAAATATGTTTTATATTGAAATTACTTTCATTAACGATTCTAAAAACTAGTGGGAATTTCTATTTGACTATATCAAAACACGGATTTGCAGTAATGGTTTTTTTTATTAGTGTATGAATAATAAATCCATTACTGCAAATCTGTCTATTGCTTATAGTTAAATAGAAATTCCCAACAAGCTCAAATTCTTTGCTGTGCTGATATTCCTTTATTATATCATCTGACAATTATATTTTTTTTTTTATTAAAAAAGTAAGAGTAACATCAACAAATTTGTTCAGTAAGAACATATAAACAAAAGGCAAATAAAATACAAGGTGTTAAGAACAATTCAAAATGTAACACTGTTTTTCATTAACAAAAATTGTATGACACGTTTCCTTTGAGACAAACTTATTAAAGTAAAACCAGAACTATTGTAAGGTTATAAATCAGTATTAGCTAATAACCTTCATTATTAACTATTGTTTAAGATGTTGTGTGTCCCTTAAAAGACTGCCAGGTACGAATTAAAATATCTTAGAAAAAGTTAAAATAATAATGGGGAATTAAGAATATACCTAGATACCTATTTAGAGAATTGTAGAAATGCTAGAGTAGGTACATCACTGCATAAAAGCGACCACCTGCTGATAATTCAAGTGGTTAGTACTTTATAACCTTAAAATACTTCTGATTCTACTTTATAAATAATTTCACCTGTCCTTGATGCGGAAAATTTTGATTCTGAGAAATTCCTCCTTGCATGGGAATCCCACCCTGCTGCGGCGGCAGTCCGCCTTGAGGGGGCATCATTCCACCCTGATTATGGGGAATCCCGCCCTGATGTTGAGGTATTCCCTGTTGGGTATTCGGAGAATTGGGAGGCAAGCCAGGTTGTCCGCCGCCCATCATATGTTGAGACGATACGCCGTGTCCTACAAACTGCGGGGCGCCATTAGGCAGTGAAGAATTCGAAGTTACTCCTTGAGGAAAGCCGGGCGGAGGGCCTAAAGCAGTATTATGAGCTGGTTGCTGCCCTAGAGGACCTAAAAATGCAGTAAATTAAATAGAAGACGAGATAATGCAGTTTCTTGTTTATAAAACTATTTTCTTACCATGTGGTGGTCCTCCAGGTAAACCGACTTGACTCGGAACGCTTTGCGGAGGCATCATGTGCTGAGGAAATGAATAAGTGTTGTAATTACCCATGGACTGGTTCGGGTTGGAAGGAAACTGTTGTCCATGATGTGGAGAATTCATATATCCATATTGAGGTAACATATATTGCTGTTTTTGCTGTTCCTGTCTCATTTGCATTTCTCTCTCTTGTTCTTGGATCCTTTGTAGCGCCAATTGTCTCTGGTACTGAAGATATTCCTTAAACAGAAAGTTGGTGTTAAATAACAACAACTGCTTCCAAAATTTGATCCAACTATTCGATTAGACGAAATTTATGGTTAGATAGTTCTACTTTTTAAGATCCAAACATAAAACGAGCTTAAATTTGTACTTTACGTTTTAAGTATGTAATTATTATATTTGTATTTTTATATATATCTGACATAATTGTACCTGTTTTTTCTTCCTCATGACTTCCAATTTATGCGCCATTTGCATTTGACGCATTCTTTCTTGCTCCTCAGCCTCTCTTCTCATCTTTTCATTGTGTTCTTCGCGCAGAGCGTCCAAAGCAGCCCTCGCGTCTTTTACTTGAGTCATTTTGTCCTGCAGGCATTCGTAGTGGATGCGACTGTCGTCGTGTTCTTGGATGTAATGTAGAAGTCGCGAATGCATCGCCGTTATGTTCATAAACAAAGTTTGCACGCTCGTGTCGTTAGCGATCGATCTAAAAAAGTTAGATCACGATTTAACACAACTGTTTGAATTACTAATGTTTTTAAAAACATTTGTGTATTCTTAAATGTATCACTCAGTCGTTTTCTCAAGAAAAAAAGGTTTTATTAGCTTGGGAACGAGCAGAGGATTAGAAGACATTGTAAAGGCAACATCAAAGTCATATTTTTCAATAGTTTTTCATTATCTTGAACTCGCCAACGAGGTCAAATCAATCAAACAATTACCATATATTAAGTTTAACAAACAAACGTGGCCAATACGATTTTATATTGTGTTTAATTAATATTAATTAGGGGTATGCGGGCGAGTTAGATTACCCCCACCATATTAAGTAAGGTGCCGTTTAGTTTTCCGTCCGACCAGATATTTAGAAAGCTAGCATAAGTTGCAATCTAAGTCGGACGGAAGACTGCACGGTGACGTCACTACCCAGTACAAAAATTCGAGGTTTGCCATGATTTTTGTGCTGGGATGCCATCGTGTAATCCTGTGAATCGGCTATTTCATGCACGTAAACTACCACGAGACAAACACATACAAAGACAACCCTGTTTTTTCAACTAGTTTTTCAGGGAAGACAGACACAATTAAAATCGGACAAAAACTTCATACTTTTCCAATATTAGCTACTAAAATTGAATTTATAATGTTGATATTAACAAGCAGAAATCGTCTAACTTCATTATAGTTAATAATAGCACTAGAATACATAGCCAAGATATCGGTTATGGCCTCAGGTCATGTCCTCACTGGAGGCCATAGAAGCACTGGAAAACTTCCTAGATTCTGCTACACTTATGTGTTCCAAATATTATTCTATAATATTTGTACATATTGTAAATTATGTATAGGACAAGAATTATAGAGAATGATACGGCCTCCCCCAGATGTTGCGACTATGCCCAAAATCTAATCTTTTCACCGCAGGATGGATTAAAGCTTGAGTTCAGAATTTGGTGTTTTTCTCTGTATCCTGGCATTCACAAAGTAAGACTACTTAGATTATCTCTAAGTTCTATTAAAAATAATTTAACACATTAACCACCACGTGTTGCATCTTGGCACTTTGGGCCTCGCGACACACATGCTATGTCTTACTACCGTCAGTTCTATTTGGTAATATTAACAGTTTAACCCAGATTAGGACTATCTTTTCAGTTTCTACAGTGGCGCTTAACGTGTTAAACAAACCTTTGATCTTAACTTACCTTCCTCTACTGGAGTTACTTTTCATCCTGTTAATGAAAATTTCGACGTGACCTTTAAGGGTTCTCATAAACTCTTCAAGATCGTTTTCCGCCAAACCGTTTTCCTTGGTCTTAAATTTGGGTTCGATGTTTTGAGATGGAGCGGTAGCTGGAGCCGACGGACTCGTGGGACGATCGTTTGGATCGTTGGTTTTAAGCGATTCCCAATAGGAACGATTCAAATATCTAGCCAATTCTGGATCTTCTTGAGGCTGAGGAGGAGTTTGTGGTCTTTCGACTGGTGTTGGTTCTACTGTAACGATTTTTAATGTAAATTTATAGAACTAAACTTCAAGAAATGCTTAAAAATGTATGAATGTAATTTATAATAATTCCCATATACTTTTTTTTATTATTTAAGATAAAATAAACTAACAAATTTGATAAATTACTTATTTTATCATGCAATTATAATGTATAGTTTTTAATTATAAAACTATAAAACGTTTAATTACCTTTCACATTATACAAAGCACTTGTTGCCCTTATTTTTTCTTTTTCTTTGGCTTCAGCTTCTGATTGACTCAAAGCTAAAGCTAATTGCAGTTCCTCCTCTTCTCTCAATTCATCTTCACTTTTCTTAGGAGGATCCTAAAAAATGTTTAATAAGAATTTAAGTTTTTTTTTTAATTCTAATTACCTGTTTCTGTTGTGCCAATGAACTTTTTAAATATTCCTCAGGCAAATCTGTTTCACTGGAAGAAATAGAAGATTTTGATGCAGTGGCTGGTTTAGTAACTTCATCATAACAAGCATCACATACTCTCACCTAAAACAATATATTGACAAATGTACAAATAATTTATTTTAATAAAAAACAAAATAATTAAATTGTTCTTAAATTCATAATGGCAGAATTGGAAAAAAATCAATACTTTACCTCCTTTTCAATTCCATATTTGGGCAAAGTAGAAGTCTTTGAAGTGCACTGGCCACAAAACACTTGACCACAGGCTCTGCAATGATGCTTTCTTTGGAGTACACTGAATTGTACACGACATCTATGACACACATCTCCATCAGCCCATTCTGGGGCTGTGTCAGATGAAAACATTGCATCTGATTCTCTGGGTGTTGGAAATTTGTGACCTTCCATTTTCATTGTATTCACAAGGTCCTGTTAAAACGTATTATACTAATCAAATTAATGCTAATCAATAAAAAATAGCTTTGTGAATGTAGGGTATGACTAATTTTCATTGGTAATAATTTAAAAATAATATATATAATTTTGTTTGTAAATATTTGCTGCAATATATTATTTACCTGGCATGGATGAACCTAATGTATGAAATATTTATTTTTAATGGTGTATTACACAGGTGACTTATTTTATGCTTGATAAAAGCCTAATTCAATTTTACAATTTATTGCAAATAGTATTACATACATACATACAAATGTTTTACTTATTTATTTATTTCTAAAATATAATAATGATTGAAAATTTAAATAATGCTGCCACCAGACCAGAATATTATTTTTGTTGATATAACATGTTTGTTTATTTGCTTTTGTTTTGAAATAAATTAATTTTGAAAGAAATAGACTATAATTTAGAAACAGAATAAATTATTCTTGTACTGTCAAACTTACTTCAATACATTTTCTATTCTTACTTCACAGCCAGACAGCCACATATTTCTCTTGATTAATCATAAAATAATGAACTTAAATCATGTAGGCACAAATAATAAACATACATTATTTTATACATTACACTTTTATATGAAACTTACCTTCAATTATAATTACACAACAGTCAAGAATATAAACAATTACCTTAAGCGCTCCATGTTTAGGATTCTTCCTAAAGACAAAATTCCAGGTTTGAATAAGTTCTAACAGTTTACTTCGAACATTTTCATGAGGTGTGGTTTTTGATAATTCATGAAGGAAATCACAGAATGATTTAGTGGTTAATTCTTCATGAACTATTATGCCTAGAAGATTTTTTTAATATTAATAAATACTGATAGTGTCTTTAAAGGATCAAGGATATCACACAACAATGAATAACAGAAATCTTACCACAATTTTTTACCATACTTTCCAAAACTAACAAAGCATACAATGCAGAATGAGGATTTTGTGAGTATAGTTTCTTTCTTAATGCAGTTAAGGCATATCTTGGTCTACAAAGAAAAAATATGTAAATAAATAAGGACAACTAATGTTTGTTATCAACAAAAAATGTTCCTACAACATTGTTCTTAGGTTAACAAAATTGTAATAGGCAGGCGCACTAACACTTACTGCCATTTTAAGATAAGTTGCTATATGATATTCAGGTAGGTATTTAATAAGAAAGTCGATACAACATAATTTAGAGAAATCTACACCTAATTTAAGCAGTGCTTACAAATAAAGAATGTTCAATGCTATTTGTGTAAAGAACATAAAAATTGCTTACTGTACATCATTCTGTCTAATCAAATCGCACATCTGCAGCGTAGATGCTAAATCTAGCTCCATTAATAAATGGCTGGTTGCTTTTTCTGAAATTGTGTTAGTATAGATTTATAGTACTTATTTATTTAATCAATGTATGACTTACCAAGCAATGCATCAAAATTTCTATTGCGAAACATTTTGTTGTAAGAATAGCTGATTTAACAACAATACTTTATAATCACTGAAATAGATGAATCACTTTTATCAAACCTAACAGATGATTTTGACTTTTGGTTGACAGTTTTGACTTTTGTTTGACAGTTTTGACATTTATATTCTTCTTTCTTAGTTTTTTATTGACTCGATCCATGAGGATTATTTAGGTCCGTATTTATAAACGAACTTACTTGAGTCGGACTTGGGTAAGTCGTCCTTGAACGAAAATCGAAGTTCTAGAACTAATCTAGAACTGACCTGGAACTGAACTAGAACTGATCCAGAACTGAACTAGAACTGACCCAGAACTGATCTAGAACTGATCCAGAAATAATCTATAATTGATCCAGAAACGATCTAGAACTGATCTATCTAGAACTGATCCAGAACTAATCCAGAACAGATCCAGAACTAATCTAGAACCGATCCAGAATTGATCTAGAACTGATCCAGAACCGATCTAGAACTAATCCAGAACTGATCCAAAACCGATCCGCAACTGACCCAGAATTGATCCAAAATTGATCGAGAACTGCAAAATTGTACTAGAATGACAACACTGACCATGACCATGCGTACATGCGTAGACGACCCATCTATCTCTACCACATTCAAAATGGTTCTATTTTTTTTCTAAATCGTTTACTTTTTTGTGACACTAGAGTGTTATAAACCTCCAACCCTCTTTTAATTTAAGTGGAAACAAATAATAAACCATTAAAATAATACTCACCTAATGCATCTGTTAGTCCATTTAGAAACAGCTGTACCATTGGCCAAACACATTACATACTAAAACATTGTTAAAAATTTTGTTAACAATAAACCGAAATATACAACAAAAAAACTGATACGTGCACGTATTTTTATATAAAGTAGAATTTTAATTTGGGACAATCAGTATTTTTGCGATATCGTTCAGAATGAGCGACCGTTGGTGAATCATAAATATCATTATGTAAAGGGTTTTTATATTTTAACGTTTATTAAAAATGAATCAGTACTTCTCGGGCCTTTAAACGAAAAATGTATCGGAAGTGCGCGTGCGATATACATTTTTTTAATAGTTCGGTTTATTATTAATATCATTGTTATACAATGTATTTAGTGTGTGATGTGTGTGCCAATGGTGCTGGACAGATAGATGCATTAGGTGAGTATTTTTAATTTATTATTTAATTGTTTTTACTTAAATCCATAGAGAGTTGAATTTTGTCCAAATGAAATTCCCTTTTTTTAGAAACTATGTTTGGTAAACGTCTATAATATATACCTCACTGATTCCAGAAATTGAATAGTTTTCTTTATCCAGTAGAGTATAGGTAGCGATTTTTAAATACTGTATATTCCGAAATCAATCATTTTAACTTTTGGTCTACACTACACACGATTTTTTTTCTCAGGGATAAAATGTTTTTTTAAACATGATAAGGATGGAAAGAAATCTTATTAATATCTCTTTTTGTTCCAATTGGATTTCTTGATCCTGTTTGATGTAGAAATAATAAGTGAACAATTATAAAAGCCAGAATAATAAATGATAAATATATATTATTGGTAAAAAATCAGTTTAATGTTGCATTATCTACTGCAAAACTTCCTCAAATTCATTGAACTAATATATTTCCTAAATAAGGGATTGCAGACATAAGATTAGTAATAACTGTCGCCCCTCAAAAATATATTTGTCCTAAGGGAGTACATAAACTAAAAAAGCTATTGCTATTATTAGAAAAAAAAATTGTAACTCCAATTATTCATGTTACAATTTTGTTATATGAACTATAATAGATTCCTCGTCCAATATGGATATAAATACAAATAAAGAAAAAAGAAGGCACCGTTTGCATGTGTATTGTTCGTAATCACCCATAATTTACATCTCGACAAATATGGGCAATCCTTTTGTTCATTTTGAAAAACATGGACGATCAATCTATATAACTATCTATATCATTGATCCTGTCAAATTACCAGGCCCACAAGGTTGCCATATCATAACCTGTCAGAACCCACTGGCAGCTAATTTTGTTTGGAATACCTTTTTTTTGCTCTTTGATGACTACACAATTCGAAAAATCTGGTATATTTTATAGAATCTGGTACATTTTTATGGAATCTGGTACATTTTTAGACAAATCTGGTAAATAAAAATATATTCCGACAACACTGATTTGGACGACTGGTAAAATATATTGTTGGGGTTGGGTTCCTTGTTTGCGTTCGTTCTCGATAAAAGCTTTTTTTTTCTCGTCAATAAACCAAACCACAATTCGAGAAATAGGGTACAATTTATAGAATCTGGTACATTTTTTTGGAATCTAATACATTTCTCAGACAAATCTGGTACATAACAGAAATATATTCTGGCAACACTGCGCCCCATAATTCGTACTTTGTTGTTTGAGGTTAAGTTGTGTTCGTTTTTTGTTTGGTAAATTGAAAAATAATATATTGAGATTCGAGAGGTTTTTTTGTAGAATTTTTACAAATAATTATGTCTTCAAATAAAATTGGACATGTTTGTAGTGTAAAATATTGTCTAAACCAACGTCATAACAATAATGTGAAGTTCTATACGTATTTATGGATCTCCAGAGGTATGTATTGTTTTATATTTTACTATATATTTATTCTCTTGGGTTAATTTAACAAGTACTATATTTTATAAATAAAGCAGATAATCGAGAGCGGAATTTCTTGTCTGATTTCACTGAAGTGATGTTTAAAACAAAAAGTAATATGTAATACCCCAATAATATTTAAATCTTTTAAGATAAAGTCAAAGTTAAAATATCATTAAGCTCATACAAGAAATGACAGAAACAAACGTTAGAAAACTATTCCTGCATACTTTTAATACTCCTTTTAACAAAGTAACTGCTTCACATATCTGAATTTCTATGCTGGGGTCTGGGGTAATATGTTATCTCTCTCTTTTTCATTGCCAACCCCTTTAATAAAAAGGCCTGTATGATTTTAAAATGTATTATTTGAAAAAAAATAACAATTTTTTTGTTTTTATTTAGTTACAGACATCTAAATGTTTCATGTTGCTAAATATGAAAAAATAATAAGTTCAGGACACAACTCTTTCATATATTTATTGCTTATGAGCATTTAGAGGCTTTCTACACTTATTTATGCAGTGGTATTCAGCATTTTTTGACAGATACCCCAAATTTTAAATTCTATTTAAACCCAAAAATCAGAAAAAGGAGGTGTTTCAGACCTGAAAACAATATCCTTGCTTCTTATTATATTTTTATCTTCTTTTGAATTCTTTATTTTTGTATAATGTGTATTGGTGATGGTTTGACCAAGTTTTCTAAATTGTTTATTACTGATGTCTTCTGATTTGTTTTCTGCAATAAATTAAGTAGTATAAGCACATGATGGAATTATAACAAGCTATAGGAAAAAAACATCCTAAATGGACTGTGGAATTTAAATGTTTTTGTAAATGTGGATGAAATAGAAATAGAACACAAGAATAACTCATTTTTATGTATATTTAATCTCAATAACTAAAAAATATACTGACAATTAGTTTGATAGAATTGTCTTTGATATAAAATTAAAAAATAGGTATGTACCTAGTTGATTGGCCAAAATATGAACTGTAATTGGAGGATTTAATTTTTTTTGCAGCTTTCTTACTAGATATGAAATATATATTTGTTCAGTTGAATGTAATGATATACTTTTTCATTTTGTAGCCTTTGTGTATATAACTAATATCCTTGTGGGTGTATCAAATTAGTAGTTTGGCAAAAAAGTGGATATGATGACCATATTGCATGAAGATAAAGTTTGAGCATGACGTCAAGAGATAATAAATTTTGTTTACAATGAGAATGTCAAGTAATAAATGTAATTCTGTGGAAGTGGCTAAAGTACCACCCAAAATACTTAATTGTCACAGGTAATTCCAATTATGATTGGCTCATTTTATTTTTTATACACCTATGTTATTTTGGAATAATAGCTAACCAGAACTATATCAACAAAACAATTTTTAAAAATTTTAATTACTAAATATTTACCATTTTTAAAATCTTCATAGCTAGCAGCTGAGCATAAGGGTAAAGGAACTGATTTTAATTTATCAAACAATTTATAGTTAGCTTCATAACATTCCAATTCATCATTATAATAAAGCATATTTCGAAATTTTTGACCCCACAAAATCTCATTTGCTAAATAGCTAGTCTTTGCATTTGTATTTTGTCCTGTACTTTCAATGGTTCCATCCAAGACGATTACCAATTCAAATTTTTTATTCAACATTTCACTTGCCGATACGCGAAAAAATGGCGATTTTTCATCAATTTTATGAGTAACTGTAATTGGCCATAGAAACAGAGGTTCACTACCAGTGTCTTCACTCTGAATTTTTAACTCTGTTTCATATTGGTCTAGTTTCTCTCCTTCTTTGGTTGTTTTGTTATGGATACAAAATGCTTTAATATTAACCCCTAAAATATGAAAAATATGTTATTGAAGTAATTTCGTTTGTGTTTTCTTAATTAAATTATGTGAATACAATAAAACAGCATCAATTATTAAGCAGAACAGCTTTTTATCAATAAGCACTAGGAACAGTCATTTTTAAGGCACAATTAGTGGGTCAAGGCTTAAAGACAAAAAGAAAACGCCATGTAAAATGTTTGGGGCATTGGAAAGATGAGATACCATTTGTAAAAGATTGATACAACACCAAAAAGCAAGCGAATTATGGAATGAAAAATGGTAAGAAGAATGGAACAGAAGTAAAAAGAGTACACATATATGGACACATACCCACTTATACAAGGTGTTTTTTTAATATTGCGAAAAAATTCAGAGGCGTGTCCCTTGGACGAAATGAAGCAAAGAAGTTTCTATGAATATATGTCCTACGCCTCTTTGATTTTGAACCACAGGGTGGTAAAGTTATAAGAAAAAACTTATTTTTTGCAATACATTTAATACCCCTGTAGATATTTTTCTGAAAATTTTGGTACGCAGTTTCTATGCATCCAAAGCCATTTTCCGATACACAATTTAAACTTTTACATTCGCCATTGGCGTTTTTTTCTTACAACTTTACCACCAATCTAAGAGGGGTAGGACATATTATGTTCATAGGAACTTTTTTGCTTCATTTCGTCCAAGAGACATGCCTCTGAATTTTTTCGCAATATTAAAAAAACACCCTGTATACCGAGCATGCTGAAATAGTGCTAAATGGTAGTTCCAGTATGAGTAAGAAGAAATGGGAGTAATTTTTTTATTCAATAAAACACACCAGTAATTCTTATATATTCTTCTAATTCCTAAACATACTCTGCTTACCTATAAGTTTACATTTCCTTAAATCTCCTATACGCAACATCAAGCAATATATTCCATCTTCCAAGCAGATGACCGCGTTTCGTGAAAATTGAACTGTATATGCTGTAAATTTAGGTCTTGTCAATTTTGCAAAAACGACTCCTATGGTGAAAGAGTCGATCATAGTACCGATAATACATTGGGCGCATAATAGAAAAATGGCTTCAGGACATTCTTCAGTAATGGCTCTTAAACCATATCCCATCGTACTTTGGGTTTCCAGAGAGTAAAGGAAACACGAATGAAAGCCATAAATATTGAGAACGCATGGAGTCCAATCTGAAATTGTAGGTAAATTAGGAGATGTATACAAATTTAATTTAGTATATCTACTAATGTTATAGATCTCCAAGTATTGGTAGTTGATTTGTAAGAATATTTATATAATAGATATATTATTGATATTTTCATTGGAGATATAAACATTAATATTCTTGATTAGACACATTTTCATATAAACATTCTACACAACAGTAAACACCTGAGTAAATTACATTGATCAGATGATCATTAAGGGTGTGATTCATGATGAAAACCTAACAAAAAAGATATAAAGATAAAAACGTAGACATTTAGCTTATTTTTAGATAAAAAAATTCAGGCCATACACAAAACTGTAAATTACTATATTAGCCATAAAATAATCAAAAGACATGAGTATAGAATAATAGATCTATTACAGCTGACAGTGTTTTCACTTAAAAAAATTTAATTCTATCAGTGAATCTCTCAGAATTCAGAGCTAAAGGAGTCAGTAGAACGTGGATTTGAATATGCTATCAGAAATAAATAATTTATTATATTTTTCTAAAACTCGTCAAACACATTCGTTTATACCTGTACATCAATGGATCAATGTTTGAAGTAAATTTTTAATATTGAAAATGTTATATATATAAAAAAAGAAAGTATCAAAACTAAAGAGTAAAATTCTCTTACTGTTTTCGCCTTGTTTAGCAGGCAAATGGTCTTCGTGTAGATCTTTGTGTACGAACGCAATCAACCACCACAAAAGGGCGAACGTTAACCAACACCCTGTAAATCCAACCAACATCGCTTGTATAGTCCATTTCCATTCTGCGTCCACCAGACTCGTAAAAGTGTCTCTTACGTAATGAAGATATCGTTTTGAAAATTTCGGTTGAATGATGTTGTATTCCCCGTCTTTCAAAACGGTTCTTGGTTTCGAATTACCGACCCAAATGTTAGGTCCATACGCTTTTCTAAAATATAATTTAATAAAGACAGGAAGTAGATGGGAGATGTATGTGCAAAATGTGCAAACTATTCCATGTATGTACAAAATGTGCAAACCGGTTTGACCTCAGTTAATAAACTCGTCTAGATACATGTAATCGGTTAATAACCTGAAACTATTATTTAAACATTTAATATGCGTTTAATGTATTTTCTACTTTTCAAGACGAAACTATTTTTTTATTTATTTATTCATTCACGTAATGTTTCATCTACTTATAGTCCGAATAAAAGAGGAGTGCAGTAAAAGTGGGAATATAACGTCACATTTGCCTATGCGTACTTTGCAAAATAAGGTTCTATCATCTAAGGTTTCTATAATATAAATAAGGTCACGTAGATTATATTTTGAATGAAAAAATTTATATTATTCACAAAAAATAAAAATAAACGTTGTTTCTGACAAAATTGTTGCACTTTAACAGTGAACGAATTAAATTTAACCAATAAATAAGGAGGATTATATATTGTTAATGGGATTAAACTTTTTTTAATCTTTTGGCATTAAAAGTAACACTTCAGTACCTAAAATTAAAAAAAAAGTTCAAGAACTATCTTTAAAAGTCACCGTCTTCACTATATCCATTGGTATCATTATCATTGTCTTTTTGAGACTTATTATTATTATTATTATTATTATTTTTCCATTGCTATATCCACTTTCTATAATGAATTTTCCACCTATTTAACAAGATCAATACATTTTCTTCAATGTTCTTCATTTATAGTTGGAGGTAAAGATATGTTTTCTCTTTTGGCACAAAAAAGGGACACCTGCAACGGCAGCCCAGGGACGGACCTAATTAGTTACCTGTTACGCTTTAATTTTAGATTGTCTATTCAAGAACAAATTTTGCACATCAGGTAATTTAAACTTTTGAGTTTATTACAGTAAAAATCATAGAAACATGATTAAATCTAAACAAAAACTTTTATTAGGCCGATCAGATGTGTTAAAATTTTCATTTTAACTTAAAATAAGCATTGAAGGATGAGATATAAATAAAATGACTACTTCTTGAACATTTTGCAAATAAAATTACTGCACTCTATTACCCCATTTTATAAAAAAATATGAAAAATAAAAACTAGTGACATTGTTGTAAGATTAATGTTATAATAATTTTTTATCTTACCTTCTAAAATCTTTGACTTGCTTTCTTATTCTCGTAATAGTATCTGCCATTGATATGCGGTTAATGTTGTGTTTCAGTTTGAAGTGTAAATTATTTTAATATTAATTACACGTGCATTATTTATTTATTTTTCAAAAAGGATGTTTGATTGCCGGTGTACATATTATTTCGCTAGGTATTCACAAAACTGACTGATTTATATTTTAATTATATTTGTTAGGTAAGAACAAACTTATACGAAGCAGGCATGTATACAGGGTGTCTCAAAATATACAGGGAAGCTTCCAGATTCCGAAAGATTCGAACCCAAAACGGATGTCTACAAAAACACAGTAGGTACTTGTAATTTTATATTTTTTCAGTATGATAAATACTAGATAGATGACCTTAAATTAGATCATTTCAAACTTATTTGTCTTATTTAGGAACGGACTAGCTTTAATACAATTTTGTTAATTTTATTACACCTTGTACAATAAAGGCAGAAAAATACTATTTTTGGACTGCTAAAAAAATACTCTTGATCGATATTGTTAAAAGGATATGTTTTCGAAAAAAAAAAAAAACAGAAAAATTACAGCGAATACAAAACAAATCAGTTAGAGACTATTTATGACAGATGGTCATGGCTATGTTGATAAATATTAGTGGCAGATATTTGATTTTTACGGTGAAATAAAGTATTTGTTTACTTCCACAGATTTCTATGGTTATTGACGGTTGGCGATAGAAATTATTAAATTACACCAAATACTTTAAAAATTATTAAAAAAAAACTATTTCCAGGTGGGGCTGTTATGGGTCCGTATCTCCATGAGGGGACCGTAGAAATAAAATGTTATTTTTGTATGTTTTGTCTGAATCCGAAAGATTGGCCACATAATCTAGAACACCTTGTTTACGACGAAAAATTCGCATATTTCAGGTAATATTACAATATTAAATTCAAATAAATTACAAAATTACCTCTACAAAATATGTTATTGATGATGTGCATATCATAATGGTTAAAATTACTTATATTTGTTTTATAATGAATCACGAAAAACTATTTCTTATCAAAATATATAATAAATAATTAATTTAAAAAATAAGCAACAAATTCTTAATAAATACTTAAAACAACTACATTAATATTTTGTTATCTTGCTCTTATTCGTCCTTTTCTTTAGAATATATCATACTGTAATTTACTTACAGTGTTTTTTTAATATCTTATCAAAACATTAATAAATTCATTTAAAAAATTAACAATATCTTAATAAATAAAACAGCTAAATTAATTTTTTGTTATCTTGCTCTTCCTCGTCCTTTTCTTCAAGTATATCATACTGCAATTTGTTTACATTACTTATTTTTTTCTTAATTTCTGCTTCCTTCACATGTGGTTCAAATAAGGATTCGTTTTTCATTTGATTATTAGTAGTATTCATGGAATTTGGTTTTTCATTTTCACCAGCTTGTTCTTCTTCGTCTTTTTCTTCTTCGTCTTTTTCTTCTTCGTCTTTTTCTTCTAGGATATCATAATGCAATTTACTCGCCGTACTTATTTTTTTCTTTATTTCTTTTTCTTTCACATACGGTTCAATTAACGGTTCATCTTCCATTTGTGGGTACATTTCGTGATAACTAGCTGAATTCTTCGATTGTAATGAGTTGAGGTCTTTCTTTTGTATGAGGGGTTCCATTGATGGAACGCGTGAAATTGGAGCACTTTGAATTATGAATGTGTTATTCGGAGAAAGACGGGTTTGTGATACGTATCTGAAGTCCATATCTGAAATATAAAAATTCATTGTTAGAAAGTGGTTACTATAATCTTATAGAGGTCCTCAAAATAAAAGAGTTTAATAAACAGTATGTTGTGGATGGAATTTCTGAAAAATATGGCCATATACCGTTTTAAGGTATTACGGGTACAAAACTTGATGCATATGAACTAATTAAGGAAGAGGTATTCAGCATCAATAAAGAAGATTGAAAAAGTAATTAAAATAGAACACTTCCATATAAATAAGGGTAATAGATTTATTATAGATGTAAACTATGACAGCGAAGATTAAAATATTGAAGAAGGAATAATTGAGGAAAATTTTGAAAAAGGATAATAGAGACAAATATTGAAGGAGTGAATTTTAGTTAATATTATTTTTTTAAGCAGTATGGTTATTCATTTTAAATAATTTTGTTTTGAGAATTTAATTTCAGTTAAAACATTTTTTATATAATACTATATTGAACTAACATTTCAAACAACCATCAGTTCTTACTAATTTCCTTATCATCTTGTGTAACACTTCTGTTAATTACTAGATTCATATCCATATTACTTCTTAAGATTTTTATAAACATTTAAGCAAATTTCTTGTGCAAAAGAATTCAGTTTAGTGCAATATTATTTGGTTTTGGAATATTTATTTTTATACAGACTCAATAAAATTAAAGACTATTAAGGTTTTCGAAAGAATGATAAAAAGTTATATGTTTAATATGTCTTTTACAGAACTATAATTTATGTTTAAAAAAGTTTAAAGTTTATTAATTATTGCAAAAAGTTCAAAATTGCCTGACGAAGTGTTAGTGCCGATAACGTCACAATTAAGGACCAGTTAAAGGAAGCTTTTCTACGTAGGATAGGGACAGATATAAAATTTATATGTCAAATCATTTTAAGATATCTTGTACATCAAATTTGAAAATAAAAAATTGATACTCCCAGTAAATAATGTTGTTTGTCGTTTTTTTCTTCAATCTTCATTTTCTGTATTAAATATTTTTTCCCCATTTTCAATACATTGACTCTATGACGATCCATTTAGATGTGCCTGATGATGAAGTAACTACTTCGAAATCAGTAGCCAATTAAAATTGACTTTGTGATACATAATGGATCTTTGTTTTCTTTACACCTTCAAACACAATCCAAACCACTCATATATGGCTTTTCGTCACCGCCAAATGGACGCGTTCCGGTCGTCATTTTTCTCTTTGATAGTAGAATAGGTAATTTGTTGTGTACTGTGATTTAATTTGCCATGTTTTTTTTTTTAAATCTTCATTATATTTTTAATATTTGTTTAGTATTATTTTGTAAGATTTTGTTTTCCATTTTATATAGGTACTAGATAGTAAAAGAGTTTTTATATTACAGTTTCCATAATTTTGTTTGATTATTTTTAATTAACACGTATATTAAAAGTGCTTATTTTTAAGCCTATTTTGTCTTATCTAAATTCAATTAAATATGGTTCAATATAATTATTTTAATCTAATGGAAGGGGAACATTGTAAAATATTTTTAATCATGTTTTTAATACCTACAATTTTTATTGAAAATTTACAATATTATGAGGTTACGGACCATTTGCAGAAAGCTTGATTGTTGCTAACCATTAATTACAATTTAATTGATATGTAGAATAGTTACATTACAAGCTTAATCACTATTACTATTCATACTTTTAATTAAAATGTAATATCGAGTAAAAAATGCATCAAGTATTTTATAAGTAGGTAACAAATAAAACAAAAAACATATAAAGGAATTTTATTTCCTTTAAAAACAGAATTGCAGCCTTACACATGTATCACAATACATTTATACATAAATATTTGACAAAACTGGAACATATTAACAAACAATCTTACTCAGTGGCGACTGGTGACCAAAATATGATAATATGACAATGGTAGAATATAGATCTTAGGGCCACTCGCACCTCTAGTAGTTAAGAAATAAGTGAAGCTTAAAATGACATTGTCAATAGAAAAATGCCATTTTAAAGCTCGGCTTATTTCTTAACTACCAGTAGTGCAAATGGACCTTAGTGTTTTAGAGAGGTAGGTAGGTATATTATAAACATTGAAAGATTTTTACCTAAGTCTATACTGAGTTCTATATTATGTGATTGTGAACTTCCAATATTTTGGTCAAGAGTCGTCTCTGAATCTTACAAAAGCTTCACAACGGTAAACTTAATCTAAAGAGGTGGAAAAGCATAACGTACTTGGATAATTAAATCATCCAAATTAAATACTGACATTTGTAAAAGCGCATTCCTAATTAAATCACAGTCTTAAATTAGTAATTGACGATCCTTTCATGTCCCTTGATGATATTATCAAGGAGACAAATCGTTAATTGGCTGAGTTGTATCTGTATCTGCAACTAAAGAAATACCTTTACATTTTTAAACGAAGAACAAGAATCTACACTTTCAGATTATTCTTGCACTGTTGGTCATGTTGTTATCGAGTTTACAAGGCTGTTTTTTCTGATAGATTCAAATTTTTATGAATAAAATCAATTTAAAAACTTCTCGACAGCTTATTTGGCAAACTATATACAGGGTGTTCCATCTCAGACGAGCCATCCCGTATATTTCTTATACCATAATAATTGGAAAAATTTCTCGAAACACGTCGGATTATTTTTTTTGGGGGACATCTTTTGACGTATATTTGAGGCTTGAACCAGGCGCTTCAACCCCTCAAAATTGAATAGGGAAGAGGGGTTGAGTGATATTTCATTTGTAAGGTCTTGGAAGCCTCTTTACAAAGATCTTACAAATGAAGTATCACTCAACCCCTCTTCCCTATTCAATTTTGAGGCGCTGAAGCGCTCCCTCATAGGGGGTTGCTCGTTCAAGCCTCAAATATACGTCAAAAGATGTCCCCCAAAGAAAATCATTGCTTTTAAGCTGGATAATATTTCTATCTGCTTCTGAAGAATCTGAAGACGTTATTTTTTCCAATCGAAATTTATTTGAAAAATTTTGTTCACACAATGCCCTGCAATAGTCTATCAAAATGTAAATAATGTGTACCTACCCTGCACAAGCTCTGCTACTGAGGTTAAAATTCACTCGCCGTGCCCGAGAACTTTAGAATAGAAGTTCTAACTTTACTACATAATTTCTTCACGCCTAAAATTATTCATTTTCAGAATTTTCGGTAAAACTAGTGTTTTAAATATCATTGTTTTTAAATTGCAATTCATTTATTTTGAAATTTTTTTATGCACTGTGACACATGTGCTTGATGTCGCGATTTCAGTAGATGTATGTCAAATGTCAACTGACTTTTCTTTTATATTGCTTTTGCTCTTTTAAATGATTTTATTTTAGTCTAGAGAAGAAAAGATTACAGTAATTTAATTTGTAGAACGTAGTACAGGTGCAAGAGGTAGACATTTTATTTATACATCATCCTTCAATGCTTATTTGTAGTTTCTCTTAATATACTTCAATTATTTATATTTACAAGAAGAACTTGGTGGACGAGGAACAGCCGATTACAATAGCTACTGTCTACGTCAGGCCTGCACAACATATAGCCGCCATTGTCGTTTTTCTGGCACTTTGTCCCTTTACCAATTTGGCCCGCCTACGTCAAACCATACATTCCTTCACCTACATCTGTTCTTGGACCTTGTACACCTACGATTTTTTTGAACTGACCCTTTAAAAACCTAAGTTGTGCAGGTCTGCTCTGCGTGGTTTAACATAAGTAACGTCAATACTTCACAAACCTGAAATTTCAACGTCTCAATACTTGATCTTTGGTTTCTTTTATGCTGAATTTAACTGTAGTGGTCTCAGTCTCGATAAAGTGGGAACAGGTTCTCTCGATTTTTTCTTTTACATCGTAGAAGATAAATTATTTGTTAATTTCGTTAATTAAAGGAATGGGAGTATTGTGTTTAAATTAGAAATAAAATATCATCACGATTCTTCTATAGTTCAATTTTCGATAATGATTCCTTATTGATTTTGCGCAGTATATTTTCAAAATGTATAGGTTATGAATTATAAAACAAATCGCAGAAACCATCACCAGTATTAATAAAAACATACACCAACAGCGCTTAACAGAAACCCCAAAAATAATGCTTTAGTTCTTACCCGACATTTGCTGCATTTTATAAAATTCGGCAAGATCGGCCCCGGAACATAAAGGTGTGTCAATAGCCAACGTATTATCGAATTTCGAGTAGTTCACCTCGTAACCTTGTCTGTCTTTATTATAACAAACGACCGGTTCAAATCTATGACCCCATAATACTTCACCGGCTAAGTAACTAGACCTAGCTTGCGTCGTTTGACCAGTACTTTCGATAGTTCCTTCTAAAATCACTACTATTTCAAATTTGTCCTGAAGAATGTCGCTGGCAGTTAGAAAATAAAACGGCGACTCTTCATCTATCTTATGAACAATTGTCATGGGCCAAATAAAGAAGAGATTTCCATCGCAACCATCGGCGTTGACGTTTAGCTCCGTTTGGAAGTTGCAAAGTATCTCTCCTTCTTTTGTAGTTTTGGATCTGATCAGCTGAGCTCGTATGCTGGCTCCTATAATGTGGCTTTTTCTCATATCTCCGACTCTGAACATGAGACAGAGGCACCCGTCTCGTTGGCAGATCACTGCATTTTTGGAGAATTGGAGGGTTTGAGTCCGTAGCTTCGGACGGGTCATTTTGGCGAAAACTATGCCTACCATGAATGCCTGAATTATCATTCCGGCTATGCTTTGGAGACACATGACGAATATTGCTTCGGGACATTCTTCGGTTGTTGTTCGGACACCATAACCTATAAAAAAAGTTCTATATAATTTTTAAAAACCTACTTCTAAATAATTTGTTAGAAAGGGTACCACAGGGGTAGGATTCTATATAAATTTGATCAAGTTCTGATAAAGGGATCTGTAAGAAATGGAAAGCACTCCTATCTGAAGCCAGCGGCTTTTATGGTCTCCCTAAGGGTTGGAAATACCTTAATAACTTTACTTTGAGACTTTAAAATAAATCTCTGATACTTATATTTTTTATTGACATTAAAATCAATATTTTTTTTATATACATGGTGATAAAACAGTGTAAGGTTTAGGATTCTGCGTGATTACAGACGGTGATTTGTGGGATTTGGCGGGATGGAGGCGACAGCTAGGTATTGTGAAGGAAAACGGCACTGAATTGCACTAAATGTGAATTTAATAAGCAATACCGTTGCACAATATTACTAACTGAATGACTAACATAAAAGAATAAAACAATTTGAGAAAACAATGATAATTAACTTTGGGAAAAAAAATGTCAGTTCACGTCTATCATTCACACCATGACAGTTGTGTCGATTCTCTTTCTCTCTCTATCTCTCTCTCTCCCCCTTTCCCCCCCTAGTTTTCGGTTTTTCCACTGGGTGGCGCATCTGTACAACACTACTCAGGAACGGCTCGAAGAGTATGCACGTTACAACAGAAATTAACAACAATAAGAAAATTAAAACCATTTGCTATTCCATTTTTATCAGGATCTATGAAAAAAATCTCAAATTCTTAATTTTTGGAGTCAATTTATTTAAATTTACTCTCATAGCTTGTGTATTAAAATATTTTTCTTTCATCACCACAGGTATTGTTGAATCAAATAGTTTGAACACTCGCGTTCTGAGTTCTAAATATTCATTACTTATTACAATAATTATTATTACTAATTCTAAATTTATCTAATCTTTAAAGTTTAATCTTGATATTAGTATAAGAAACTTTAGCTTAAATAAATGAAGTAGAAAATAAATCAATTTACCAATTGTGTGTTGCGTTTCAATAGAAAACAAGAAACACGACGTGAAACCATGAATATTAAGAACACAAGGTGACCAAAGTGAATTCCCCTGTTGTGTTGGTAAATGATCATCTTCAAGATCGCCGTGTGTGAAGACGATCAGCCACCAAATGAGAGCAAATATCAACCACGAGCCTAAAAATCCTATGGCGAAAATAGTCAGCGTCCACCTCCATTGCGAATCGACCAGAGTGGTGAATATATCTTGTAGGTATCTTAATCGGCGTCTCGAGATTCTAGATTGAAGGATATTACAGTCTCCGTTTTTAAATACTGCTCGTCTTCGCATTTTTCTTAGGGCATTTGGCCGAAAAGAGCGTCTGTAAAGAAAAAAAGAATATTAGTTTTTTTATATTCAAATTAATAGGCCATACAGAGAAAATGGACTAAAACTAGCGCATGATTTTGATTATCTGGCAACGCTGGTGGTGCAGGAGCACTCTCATAAGTTAGAAAATAGGCATGATGCTATAAAAAGGATTGATACTACGTCATTGTGATGTGAAGGCGTGGTTTTTATGAATTTGAGGTATCAGCTGATCGAAAACAGCGTGCGAAAATAATATTTAATCTACTTATGGCCAATGAGATATTCCACACTATAATACTTTTTTTTATCATGGAGAATAGGTATTCTGTACGGTTATGAAACGAATAATGTCTGTCCGCCTCTACTTCGTATCGTTGACGTTGAATTGTGACACCACAATTGTTTAGTACAAAACTAAACAATATATTAAACGGGTATTCAAATGAAATTTAATTGAAATCTGTAGGTGAGTGCACCCATTGTTTTTAGTATTCATTAATGGGTTATCCTACTTTCACAACACTATGTAAATACGATGACATTATCTAGCACAAATAATCTAGATTTTATCTTATAGAATATATTTTTTTTCTGGGATGCCACTGAAATATAGATATTTGCTATTCGGTAATTTTGCAACTAAATTCTCGCCGTTCAAAATCTTGAATTTGGTTCCTTATTTATTTAAAAAAATATCGAAGTAGAATTGTTATAAAAAAGAAATTTTCATTATAATGTTATACAGGGTGTACCAATAAAAACTCCTAGGTCGGATATTTTAGTAAGAAATAGAGATATTTTAATTATGTAAAAGCTAGTTCGCAGAGCACTAAGAGAGCTTTAGTTTTAGGTATACATTTATTTTAAATAGGCCAATATGTAGATGGCGCTGCCCTCAGTAATTTTTTTTTTTTTTGATGAGAGGATGTTTCCTATATAGCTCACCTTATAAAAAATGTATTTTAAAGAACATTTTGTTTTATAAATAAATAAATCTAGCCATTTTCGATATACAGAGCCAGAGTGGGTCCTAGGGCAATTCTCCAGATACAAAAAAAGAAAAGGTCCTCAAGCAAACATTTCTCCTCTACTTGAATTTTCTAAAAAAAAAAGTTTTTAAACAAAAACTTTCTCCTCTTCTACTTGGACTCTCTCTAAAAAAAAGGGTCCCCAAGTAAAAATTTCAACTTCCCCCTCTTGTCCGAACCTCTGAAAGAAAAAGAAAATCCTTTCTACGACGGTTGCCGGGCCCCCATTTGAGCTCGGGCCCCGGGAATTAGTCCCGGCTGTCCCCCGTCTTGTCGGCACTGTACAGAGCGGACCACAGTTTCACCCTATTATTTGGCATTGCTCATTGGATTTAAAAAAATGCTCATACAGGTCGATTTTTATTGCAAATTGAATACATTTGTATGATTCTGACATCTGTCATGTGTCATCCCCCTCCCTTCAACTTCTCCAACCCCTTAATGTTCAATATTATAGAACTGCTTGTGTAAAGTAGATAATTTTAATTTTGACACTTGCTGCGATTACAAAAATGTCACTTTATATATCTAAATTAGAGAAAATACATTTTTCTACATATTTATTTGTATGGAATTTCTGTTTTTATTTATTTTAAGAAATTATATTTTATTTTTAGAAGTTCTACATAAAAATAACCTACGTATTTGTGTTTGTTTTTGTATTGAAAGATTTTTATCATATTCGAAATATAACACAAATTTGTACTTATTATTCTGAGAAATAAAACTACCATTTGGGCAATTTTTAAGTGTTTTAATAATTTAGACATATGTAAAAAAATCTACTATAAATTATTGTTCATTTATTGCTGTTTTTAATTTCATTAGTTTGACTACTGGGTTTTTGGTTAAGTCTTGCTCAAATTTACATATTTCAAGAAATAACTCATTAAAAATTGGTCCATATTCTTTTGATTGTTATGAAACTCCAAAATTTAAATGAAAACTCAAGCAGACATATTTTTGAAAATGTAACTATCCCTATTATACATTTACCTCTTGAGATATTTAACTTTTTCCGAAATCCACATAAATCCATCGGAAACCGGCATTTTTTTCACTAAACTTTATAAAAACATTTTATAACGATTCTATACCTACATAGATGAATTATTTTGATGGCTTCATCAACACGGAAATTATTTTATGATAGTAATATATTTTGCAAATATTTGTCATTCATTTAAAATTACTAATTTTATTAAACGGAACCCGCAGGGTCGTTTAAATAACCAAATATGCCATCTGAACAATTTCCTGTGAACGACTTAGATTTAAAAAAATATGCATTAAATAATCTATTTATTTAATATATGCAGGGCCGTCGAGAGCCAGGTCGGGCCCCAGGACAATTCTCCAGATTGGGCCCCGTGACAATTTTATAAAAAATGTCTCCTCCTCTTTACATCTTCAAACAAAAACTTCTCCGTCTCTACTTGAATTTTCTAAAAAAAGGTCTTCAAACAAAAAAACAAAACTTCTTGAATCTCTCTCTAAAAAAAGGGCCCCAAGTAAAAACTTCCCCCTCTTGTTTTGTACCGAACTTCTGAAAGAATAAGAAAATCCTCGCCACGGTTGCCGGGCCCCATTTGAGCCCGGGAATTAGTCCCGGCTGCTCCCTTTTTTGTTAGCCCTGAATATATGCAACATTTTTTAAAATATAATAGAAAAATCTGTACGAGTTTGAGATAAATATAAATATAATAAACAAAAAATTTATTAATAAATCGTATATTTTTTTTAATAGAGTTTCTATAAAATTACAGAATTATATATTTTTTCCAGAAACTTTTTGATATACCTACCGCCGTCATGGAAGAGTAGTTGACACCAAGACAAGATGATTGTTCCAGAAAGATGGCGTAGAATACCATACTTCAAAAAATTGGAGGTGAGTTAAAAAAAATATTTTAAAATACATCAAAGTCAGAAATGTGTGAAGGATATTGAAAGGATTACAATATACAACATATTTTAAATAAAGTATGGGAATCAATGACAAATGACAGCATTTTTCACATATCTCATTACTGCCTATTATTTAAGGATTCAACTATAGGTAGTTTGTTATGTAAATATGTGTTAGTTGAAAGGCGTATTTTTTCTTCGTAATAAATAAATAATACCGTGTCACATAAATGTCAGAAGAAATTGGTTCGCTTCGCGCTTTGTGCAAACAATCAGAGCTAACCAAAGAACACTTAACATATTTAGTCTAAATTGATAATTGGATATAATTCGAATCGAATTAGGAGGGTCAGGCGTTACGAAAACTCGCACGAATCTATTTTGGTCTTATCAAAATATTAAAACTAAACCCACGAACGATATTTTCGTGTAAATCCTACCAGAATAATAGTAATATAACTTTCATTAAGAAAACTATTATGTACTACATCATTTACACCTTGGAAGGGAATAAAGAATATTGAAGAAAATATTAAAAAAAAAAATATATTATACTGTAATCTTTATATAAAAATGTGGTTAAATTTATTGTACATAAGTCTTTTTTGATCTACTTACTTTTGTAACGTACACACTGATTATAAGTTACAATACTTTTACACAAAGTTAATATTTATTCATAGATATAAAGAATTAATAATAAAAATAAACACTCCTTACTTTTTCGGTTTTGAAATCAATTTTATTTCTATTTCTGTTTTCAACATTGCCAATACTAATACTCATTTTCAGTAAAAATTAACAGTGTAACGTAATATTAAATAAAGATCTTACTGATATGAATAGGATCTGTACAATGATAAAATATTAATTAGAAACAATCTTTTCATCATTGTCATTGATTGTCAAAAATCATTTCAACATTTTCTACCCAACTGAGGCAGTTACATATGTTGTAATATTTCTTTTCATTATAATCAAGCATTCGCATTTAAAATCCAAAAATTGGGAATTTTAGTTTTTTTAGAGTTATTAATAATTGATAGAAATATATTTAAGAAATACTGTGTAAGCAGCAACATTTTTAAGTAGCTGCATATGTCGACGAAATTCCAAAAAATTCATTTTTTCTATTTTTGTAACCAAACATTTTTTTAGGCTATGTTTTCGGACTGAAAAATTAGTGTTAGTAACTAAAATTCAAGTTGTATGCGTAATGAACTATATAGAAATCTTATCTTCTAAGTTTTTTGAGAAAATTATGACACGATTCTTCACGGTAAATTTTCAAAAAACCGTGTACGTACCAGAACAAATTTGTTAATTCGTTACATTAGATAGATTTTTGTTTTTTAAAGGCTACAATTTTCGTATCGTCAGTATTTTTTTGTAAATTTTATAGAAACTAAAAACAAATGAATATAATTTTTTTCCAAAATTGATACATGAAATGAACGATTCTTACCTGCTAATTTGACTAGGAGATGTAGGAGTATTATTCTTTATTAAATAAGGAGAACCATTTCCATTATTATTCAAAATCAATGGAGAAGGTGGTACCTTGATCAGTAGTTTTGTTTCGCATTGTTCTTTCATTTTTGTGAGTTTGTCGCACTAAAAACTTTACAACTGAACAACCCAATTACTTAGCACATAATACGAACTTCATGAGCGACTGAAAAACGGTGGTTTTGCACAAATTATTAATACATAATTATTGTTTGTGTCGAAAATTAGCAAATGGACGCGAAATTTTAAATAAAATTGTTTTCTATAAAGTTAGGCTTTACAATGACGATATTTTGTTATCATGACATCTCCGAGACACATTTATCATACGCTGAATATTTATTATTCAAGGAATAAGATTACATTAGAGGAGAGTTGTGCCAAAGGAATTGCATATATTTTTGATTAAATTTGTTTAAGGATTAAACGGTTTTTAGTCATAAATCCACCTTACTTTACGAATTGTATACTAACAGTGATTAAGAATATTTTTTGATAATTTTTAAATTGTAATCATTTATATTATATTGTAAAAATAATGAATCATTTGTTAATATTTTAGTAAGAAGTTATATATCCATTCAAGAGTATTATTCATACGTTTCAATGTACAAAAGAGTATTGATTCGATATTATTGGTCTGCGCGATATTAAAAAGTACTACTTTTTAACTAGCGAGTTTTAAGATCAAACGAACTTACCTAAGTGAAGTTCGATCTTAATTATACACAGCGCTCTTTTCGAAATTCATAAGTAAACGTGGTACTCATTTATGAGTTAGTTGTGCACCATAGTCCAAAGCCAAAGCTTATAATCTATTTCTATATATCAGGGATTCCCAAACTATTTTGGACAAGATGGTCCTTTTCCAAAATGAACTGATACCTCAGAAACCCCCCATATCCAAATTACTTTAAAAATCATATCTCTAGTTTTTTCCTATTAATACAAAATACCAATTTAAAAAATTTAACAAAATAAATAGACATTAAATTCAGTAAATATCGAGTGTATTAATAATTATTAATATAAATTATGTAAAATTATTTATAATTTTTGAAAAAAACAAAAATATTAAACTTGGTTGTAAAGACTTTAACCCTATTTAAGAGCTGTAATGGTTATTGGTGTATCTTGCCTTAATCTCGGGATTGATTTTTTGGATGGCCCTTTAAAGAGCAAATTAAGGATATATGGAAACAACGTATGACTTGTAAATATTTCTATAGTTGCAGGTTTTAAAATACAAACGAAGTGCTGTAGAATGATTAAAAAAGTTGTTCGATTGCTGGTCGGAGAGTGTCTCACAATTTGTTGTTTGTTTGTTTGTTTGTTGTTTTTCATCCTGTATCTCAGTAGTAAATAACATTTAACCTAGTGTTATTTAGCAAAATATTAATATTTTTATATACTGAATCAATGCTTAAAATATTGAACATTTTTTATAAACCAAGATATATCACCATTTTCAGAACTTGATAATGGTCAAAATGTAATAGTAATAGGTATAGATAGATAGATATAGATAGATAGATAGATAGATAGGTAATAATAGTCTCTATACTTATTCACCCCATTACGAGTGAATCACTGAAGCTCTGAAAGAAGAGAGGAACGGCATTGAAATATAACATTGGGTAATATTCTAGGTCGATTTAGTAAATCTTAAATATTTGCTATCTTGTCAAGAAAAGATAATTTATGAGGTGTAGTAAAGTTTCTCAATCATGAACGGTCCGGATGTTAAAAAACAAATACAATATAGCATATAGAGGATGATTTTCTTAAGAGTTGAGATATTCGGAGTGTCCCAGTTTTTATCTTCATTTTGTATATTTAGCAAAAAAAGTTTTAAATAAAAATAACTTGAATTTATTAAATCTATCTTTACCCTTTTATATTATTGAGTTTTGCAAGTAAAGTTGTGTAAATTGTCGTCTTTTTATAGTGTTAAAACTAAAACAATGGCATCCACAACAGCTAATAGTTTATTATTATATTGTTCATTTTTATAGAAATAAATTATTCAGTTACGTCACATTTGGGTGCTGCCAGATGTACACGCTCCTGGATAGTATAAAATAAATGCGATATTTTACAAATTTCTGGAAATCTACATAAAATATGTTTACCTGTTTGAAGTTTGTAAAACATTTCCAAAACACTCTAGCAATAATAACCACAGTACCTTAGTAATAAAAAATATTTGTACAGATTAAGACTACTTGTCGACTGATTGTACAAAGTTGACATATATTTCCTTATCAAACCAGATAGATAATGCAATAATAGACATTATTTTCAAGTATCAAATCAATTATGATTTGAACTTAGCCGAAAATTTAAATAATCTGTTATAAAGTATTAGATAAAATTAAATTAATTATTGTAAATAAATATACTTGATAAACGTGTAGAAGCTTGTTTCGAGAAAAAATAAAATCAAAAACCTAAAATAATATTTATACAAAATAATATACGAATAAAACGATTAGAATTAGAAATTTCGAAATCTGCACAATCATTTTTTTTTGCACCGTTTAATTATCAAATCAGCCATTTCAAAATAATCGTTTCATAACGAACCCATAACTGAAGCAAAGGATAAGAAAATATAACAAAGTCCGTGTCACAGCGACCGTTTCCATCCTGAAAACAACTACTCCCTTGGCTAAAATCGTAACAAGCATTGCATTTTATTAAAAGGAAACAGACAGTAGTAAAAGAAAATAATTGTTACTTATGGCCATTTGAAGAGAAATAACGTAGGAAGATGGTCACAAGCTGTGATAGAGGAAGAACTTCTTACAGAAATATTTGTAGCTCGTGTATTATATCATTAAGTCAACTTACCTAGAGCTGTCATATCGAATTGATCCAGGCATATAAATTAAAGAACTATTCGCGGTCGATATCCTGCCCATGCTGGTAGCATTAGATAATTTGGGAAAACTTGACGAAGTATGGATCCGATTGAGGTTGGGAGCACTCGGAATTGATAGAAGGTTCTGTCCATTACGAAGCGGAGGTAATGTGGGCAAACTCTCGTTAATATTCCTAAAGTTTTGTTCATCGTAGAGACTTTTTAGCTCTTCTAGTTCTTCTATTACCCCAGGTCGATAAAAAAGTTTTTGCGGAGTTGTATTCATTATTGGTTAGTTTTGAGTTTTTGCGTTTTAATATCGGTACCATTTGGTTCAATAGGCTGAAATAAAAAACGAAAATAGAATTTTTGCGAGTAAAAATATTTTTTTTTTAGTAAAATATGCCGTTTCAAATAAAATTTAAATGTTCCTTCAACATATCGTGGGCTTACTGCAAAAAGTGACCAAGTTAAATTTTAAGTGAATTTCTTTAATAAGACCAAACCTCTACTTGTTAAAGTCGGCCTTACCAAAAAAATAACCAAATCATTGAATCAGTTTATTACTTTCAGACAGTATAAATATGACTTGGTAGTTTTTTCTTTTGATAGATCTGACTTTAACAAGTGACTTATTATTATATATTAACTCAAATCACATAAAATTTGACTTGGTCACTTTTCGCAGTAAGCCCATGATATTTCAAAATAATCCCATTCATATTCTATGTTTGAAATACTTGTGGCATAATTTACCTAAATTATGGTTTTAACCCACTTCTATAAAAGTCGATATATTTGAATAAAGTAGCTATGCATGTAATGGGTACAATTACAACCTAAAAATCGTGTAATTAAGAGCATAGCAACAGATGGCTTATTTTTTATTTTATGTAACTTGTTTTATCAAATACGGCTTACACCTTAGTGATAAATTGTCCAACAAATGTCCATAAAATATTAGTACAATTGTATGCGATTAATTATATCTTCTATTTTAGAAAGAGGCCTGCTAATGTGATAATTTTTTTTTATTTCTGCAAATATTGAAAACCAAATGTAACGTATAAGTATAATAGGCGATAAGTGGTTCAAATTTAAAATTTTGCTAAAAATAATCATACGATTGGGTTTTAATTTACACACCTTCTTAATTCAACAAAAAGACACACCTACTTGATAAATCTTTAACGGCAATTTATTCTTAAAACGATTACGTAAAACTGATGTAGTCCTTGAATTTTTGGTATTGCGGTACAAGGTGATTTCTTCGGCACCTTTGAGATAAAATCTAATTTTCAATCGTTTTTCTTTATTAAAATAAATTTGTAAATAATTAAACATGGTTGCCAAGTCTAGCTTGAACTTAAAATAATCAAAAGGTATCCATCATTTACAATATAAAAAAAATAAGAAATTTAATATAAAATTTATTTATGATTAAATAATGTTAACCCTGTATTTAATCTAATCTGAAATCAATTTAGGTCCTAAAATCCGTTATTTTTAAAATGCAAAAACAATAAAAATGTATGGAACTTAAAATACAATTAAATAAAGGAAAAATGTTTTAAAATAATAACATATTAATGTTAGCTCAACTAACAGCAACGTTTTATAATAAATAAAAATATCAGAGAACGTGTCCTAATTTCCCTAGGTAGACTGTTATATATTGAAATGATTATATGTAAAAGATTTTTTGAAAAATGATATTCAGTAACTCTGAATCGTTAAGTTGTATGGATATCTCAAATGTAAACTGTGCAGATCTTTCCGATATATCAATTTATTTTTTAAATATATGGGAGTTAAGGTTGAAAGAATTCGAAATACCGTGACCGCCATCTGATATTTAAATAAATTTCCTATATTGAACCAGCTACGAGGATGGGATGAAAAGTTTCCGGTCTAACCTATAGTAGGCCCGATTTGCTTTCCTGTTCCAACGTGTCTGCATAGCCTTGCTTGTCGTCAGAATATGCTCGAAGTTTAAAGTGAGTGCGTCAACTAGTTTGTGTCCTGGGTATTTTAAAAGCTTATAAAAAGATGAAAAAAACGAGATAAGAGCGGTGATAAAATATTTCCATATCAAAGGATTTTCGCCGACGAAAATAAAAGCTGAACAAGATGCTACACTAGGGGAATCTGCTTCTTCATTTACCACAGTTAAAACCTGGGTAGCGGAATTTAAACATGGTCGTACTAGCACTGATGATGCTCCGCGTTCTGGCAGGCCTAAAATGGCAACTTCTGAAGAAATGGTGCAAACCGTTCACATACCAATTCTAAAAGATCGCAGATTAAAATTGGAAGAGGTAGCTGAGGCTGTGGGCATATCAAAAGAGCGAGTTTACTATATTTTGTGTGAAGTTTTAGGTATGAGAAAGGTATCCCGCCCGATGGGTGCCGCGTTTGCTCACGTCAGATCAGAAGCTCACGCGGCTAACCATTTCAGAGGAGAATTTGGCACTGTTTAGACGTGATCCAGGGAACTTTTTGCGTAGATTTATTACGTTTGATGAAACTAAACAACAGTCCAAACAGTGGACGGCAAAGGACGAACCAGTTCCAAAGAAGGCAAAGGCAGTAACGTCTGCTGGAAAGGTCATGGCAATGGTCTTTTTGGATGCTAAAAAGATACTCCTAATAGATTATCTCCAAAAGGGAAGAACACTAGATTCGGAGTACTACAGCGACTTACTGGACCAGCTTAAGCAGAATATAAGCGAAAAACGCCCTGGTTTGGCAAAAAAGAAAATTCTGTTTCATCAGGATAATGCACCTTGCCACAAGTCCGTTCTTGTAATGGCTAAAATTCATCAGCTAGGCTTTGAACTGTTGAACCATCCTCCGTATTCACCAGACTTTTTTTTTTAGTGTCATCGGCACCAACTGCTATGATTATTAGCCTCGTGTTCTGTGTAGGCTTTGTTACTGTTTCCCAGCGCCACTTTAGGAACAGCACTGTTAATTAGAACCCAACAGTGAATGGTCGAATGGGGAATCCTACCAAGGCATCAGAATTAATTTTAAATAATTTAAATTAAATAAAAAAATCCCGACCAACGGTGGGATTCGAACCTGGGACCCTTGGAAGACTTTTATTTATTTCAAAACCTAAAAAAAATTCTTGCTGCAAAAAATTTTCAACGGATTTAGAAGTAATTGCAGCCAGGAACGCCTATTTTGACGAGTGGATAAATCAGACTACAGTGACGGTATTAAATCGCTTGAACATCGTTGGGTCAAATGTATTACCCTACAAGGCGACTATGTAGAAAAATAAATTCTTATTCAGTCACTCATGTGTTGCGTTCTATGTTAGGCCGGATACTTCTTATCCCATCCTCGTAAGTTCTTTAATTTTATTTGATATTCTGTCATACTTTCTGATACCAAATACAAAACGACAACAAGAGTTTTGAATCTTTTGAAGTCAATATTTGCTTATTTGATCCAAACAAGTATAATAAATTAAAAGTCCATAATTTAGGATGGACAATACAAGACTTTCACAGAGCAACTTACGTAATTTGAAACTCAAAATACCTCAACGAGAATTAATTTGGTATTTTAGTGGAAATTAACGTTGAAAATGCCAAGATGTGTTGTAAAAAGCTTTATTTATAATAAAAGTGCGAAGTGTGACGGCGATAAAGGAAACTTACATTTATTTCGGTGAGTTATTTAATTTTTAAAGATTCTATCTTTTTTCAGGAAGTGAAAGAGTAACATACAATCAAATAGAAAAATATCAATTCCATGACCAATTTATTCGTTTCAAACTTTACAACTGGTTTGAATAGTTTTTCAAAACTATTTATTTAATCTTTTGCTTAGAGGTTATTATTTATAAGTTAATTTTCTTTAATATAAATACTCTCTCTTTATACAAGGTGACCCAACGAAAACTTGATGGGGGTAGACAGATCGATTTTAATTTGAAGGAAGACATCTTTTTATCATATTACCATAACTCTAATTTACTGTAGTAGACTAATATGATATGAGTTATATGGCACTAGTAACTGTTTTACAAACTTTAGAGGTTTGGCCCGCGATCGAACTTAATGTGCTCAACAAGTCTAAGTTCGTGAGATATATGGATTAAATTTAATTCATAATTTGTGTTAAAAAATTATGTTTTGATTGTATAGGTCTATAAATATAAATGTTCAGCCAAGGCCCAGCTTAGGTTAATGCAACGGGGGAGTGAAACTCCCATAGGGCAGACTAGAGTAGCGTTTTTAATCCACCACGACCGTCAGGGGCGCTGCCGTCGTATAGGTGGGTGGGAGTGCAGTGACAGGTGTATATTGTTTTTTGTGGGCAGGGTGTCATGGCGAAACCGAAAAAAAAACTAACAATTTTGTGAATTCATTGATATTGTTGGTTGCTTTCAATTTGTTTAATTTTTAATCGACCTCAAAAAAAGGAGACGATTCTCAATTCGTCAGAATATATTTTTTATGTATGTTCAGCAATAAATGTTCGATTTTTATGATTATTTTTATGTTAGAAAGGGGGTACCTTAGGAGTAATCCCATATAAATTTGGTCAAAATCTGATAATGGTATCTATTAGAAAATTAGCAAACTCAATTTGTGATGGCGCGTGATTTTGGAATCGGTTTTTTAAATTACTTTTACAACTTGAAGCTAGACTTCGCCTCATGATGTTTATGTACTATTTATTGTATATTACAAGCAAGTAAAAGTATTTTACTATTATTTCATTTTAACAAATTATTAAGTTATTTTTACAGTTTTCTTGTGATCTGGTATGTTTATTTATCATTGATTCAAAATTAAATTCATACACTATGTTATCTGCAATATTTAAGTTAATATAGCTTAAAAAATATGAAATCCTATATCATTGTATATCCTATATCCTTTTTTTTTGTACTTACTCTCTTAAAGAAAATACAAAATTCTCATCATGTGGATAACTTTAAGATAGATTTACTCATTTTTTAAAATGCCACACATTGTATCTTCCAAATAAATGTTTGTTTTCCAAACTTTTAATACACACGGTGATTCTGAATAAATATTTTAGATTTCTGTAATATAATGATTTTGTTATATTTAAAGATCACCAATTAGATTTGTAAATAATATTCAATGCAACACATCTAGTTATATACCAAGTATAAGTATTTTAAAAAAGTAAGTACTCACGAAATTTTTGTGTCATCATTATTGATCCACCAAAGTACTTCCTTATTTATATTAAACAATCACACTCCGCGCGGAAAAAACGCGTTTTACTATTTTCCAATAATTACAAAATGTTTAGATTTCACGGTCATGACGAGAAGTAAACGTTTATATATATGATTCTTAGATTAGATATATTTATACGAGATATAAGTTACAACCAGGTAAAACTGCTTAGAGTTGCCTTGAAGGTACCTACAGTTTTATTCAACGCGAAACACACGCACCACAGCCACTTTGAGTTTAGGTCTCTAATATTTTTGCATTCTTCATTATCCACTTGATTCGAGATGGCAATTTCGGTTATTAGGCATTTACAGTGGCGGGCAAGTGAAAGTTCAAATTCTAACGGTAAAAAATTGTAACGCATTATTTTACACCGCAAAAGAGTAAAATTAATTATTTTAGGCATTAAAGTACCATATTTACTATTTAAAAAAATTAAAATAACGAGGGATTAAACTTTTTAATTTTATACATAAATAACAATTATAGATACAATATTTGACGAGATCGTTGTAAGTTTTTTCATATAGTTTTCTTGATTTTGATGGAATTATGTTAATTAATCAACAACGTGAATTAAAAAAAAATTTAGTCTCCTTTTTAAATGCAAGCTGTCCGAAAACATTCACCAATTTGTTATGACTGGTAAATTAAATGTCATGAGGGAATAGTTCCATTATATTAAATTATAGTTATAAAATTAAATTCATAACACTTTTGACTGAAACCTTTTCAGTAATTTTAAATTTTAGTTGTACCTAATAGTGATGCTCCAGAAAAGAGCAATTTTTCCAATAATCCAGTATTACATCTATATTAATCTAACACTCAGTTACTCTCTAAAAAATTCGTAAAAATTTGTCTACTTTTTTATTTGAGTGAATTTTAAGATATTTGGTATTCTCTAATAGACTATTATTTAGTTATCAGGACAAGAGTTCTTTTTTTAAGTAAAAGTTACATGTACTGACTTTATTTCATTTGCCTCCATACTTCATTTTTTTAGCCATGCTCGAATTTTATTTAAATTTCAGTAGGAATTTCAGCGGTATAAATGAGGTATAGAATCGGGATCAAAATATTATCTTGGGGTACACCAAATGCCACAAAATAAGTAGAGTATGATTTCGCTATTAGTAAAGATATAGGACGCTCGTAAACCATCAACGTCTTGCATAGATGATGACGTACACATCGATTTTATGGATGGTCTTTTTTTAGTTTTTCTTTAAGTGTTTGAAAGAATAACAAGGGCTTAAGTTTTTTGTCAACATGTACTCTATTTTGGAAGGCTTTAAGCATTGTTACTGAATATTTTTTCACATATGAACCACATCGGCAAGTGTTGATTTGATAGATGGAATAAATCCAAACTTCATGTAGTCCAAACTGCATTGTCTGCATTTTTTTTTCGTGTCTACCATCATAAAATTCGCAGCAACAAAAAATGTTTAAGAAACTATTTAAAAAACAACAAAACTGTTAAATTTGTATGTATCCATCATATATGTTTCTCTTTTCTGGACGCCTATGTAGAAGTTTTCTATATTACATTAAAATGCAGTTGATAAATACGTGTTATAATATACTTCTTGAAAACATAAAAAAATTAAAATAACCACATATAAAATAACATAATGAATTATTTATGAATGTTAAAAATCAAATATTGCAGTTTGAATAGTAGATACGCAAAATAAACTTGTATTATGCAAGATATATTGTAGAATAATATATATTTGATTATAAATTAACCTACAAGGTGTCAAATGTACCGAAATGATTAATAAGGTACAATATATAAAGACAATAATGGCACAATTAATCCCAATAAAAAATCAGGAGTAGTAACCCCTCAAACGCAAATGCCATTGGAAATTATTTGCGTTTGATTTTGTACCTCTCAAATTTGGTTATTCCTTTACTATGATCTGTATCCGTAACACCTTAATTTTAATGTATATACGATTTTGACTGCTATCTTCTCTTTTAGGCCTGATGATGAGCGTTGGGTCGAAACGGGTAGCCGTTTTAAAGTTTATGTGATACAGATTTTGAATATTATTATTATTATTATTATTATTATTATTATTATTATTATTATTATTATTATTATTATTATTATTATTATTATTATTATTATTAATTATTATTATTATTATTATTATTATTATTATTATTATTATTATTATTATTATTATTATTATTATTATTATTATTATTATTATTATTATTATTATTATTATTATTATTATTATTATTATTATTATTATTATTATTATTATTATTATTATTATTATTATTATTATTATTATTATTATTATTATTATTATTATTATTATTATTATTATTATTATTATTATTATTATTATTATTATTATTATTATTATTATTATTATTATTATTATTATTATTATTATTATTATTATTATTATTATTATTATGACGACATTTGATCAATTGATTTATTATTATGTTGGCTTTTTTCTTCTTTGGGGCTTTAGCCAAACTTAGGTTCTCGTCAAGATGCTTAGGGGTAAGGCCATTAAGGGTGATAATTAGAGAAAACGGCACTTCAAAATAAACTAGCTATGTATTAACACAGAAAAATGCAACAATAAAGTTAGAAAAATAGTTTTTATGGACTCCGATGTTCACTCTCTTCTCTACATTCTCCAACTGACTGTTCGTCGTACCAACTTCTTAAAAAAAAACAATATAGGTAACCTAACAAATAAAAATTTACAACATTCGGCCATCCTGCTCCATGTTTGTCCTCAAACATAGTCCTTATAGCGCAATGGTGTTTTGGTTTCTCGTCTGGGTCTCGTATCGCTTTTCACTTCCTCCTCTTCAACTCCCTCTTCTCTATCTGGATTCCAAAATTCATCTTCTTCCTCCTCATCGGAACTTTCTTCACTCGCTTGGATTTCATCATTTGGACCTACGATAAATTCTGCCTCTTCGTCTAAGGGTGTTTCTTCCAGGTCAATATCAACTGCATTTTGATATATTTTTAATTGCGAGACATGAGCAACTGTGCTATAACAGGGTAAGTGGTCTTTATTCAAGGTTTCAACCCTGTAGGTATCGCCTGTTAATACTTCAGTCACCACTAAAGGTCCTCGATATTTTGGCTGTGTTTTTGTGGGATTCCCAGTTTGAACAGGTACGGTTCTTAGGGCTACTATGTCTCCTAATGAATACTTAACTCCTTTAAATCTTGCTTTGTCATAGTTTATTTTATATTTCTCTTGATTTTTCTTTACATTTTCTTTTGCTTTTTGTCTTTTTCTTTCTAAACCTTCTTTAAGTTCTTCTTTTCTTTCTGTTAAATTGCTTAACATAGCATCTTCGAATGTAGGAATATACCCATATAACAGTTCAAAAGGACTATAACCCGTAGTTTTATTGAACATTATATTTAAATTTCTTTCAACAATATGGATATCTTTATCCCATTTTTCTTCCATTTTAATTGAAGTAACTATGGTAGGTATTATTGAACGCATTTGTTTCTCAGCCATCCCATTTGCCTGAGGATAATGCGTTGCAATTAAATGATGGATTATATCATTCTTTTCACAAAAACGTCTAAATTCTACTCCGGTGAATGCTGTTCCACGATCACTAACAATTATTTGTGGAGTTCCAAATTGAGCAATAAATAATTCCAACTTTTCTACAGCTTCTAAACAGGTTGTTGATCTCGTGGGGTAAAGTTTTACAAATCGTGTAAAAGCATCTACTATAACCAAGATGTGTACATTTCCTTTGTTACTTCTCACTAGGGGTCCTACATGATCCACATGTATCTTTTGCATAGGTCTTTGAGGCATTTTGGGTGGATGTAAGAATCCAGCTTTTTTACCTCCTGGTTCTTTAGTTAAGAAACACTGAAAACATCCCCAAATATGTTGTCGGACATATCTTCGGAGACCTCGGAAATAACATTTTTGAAGTATGGCAGCAACAGTTCTTTCAACAGACCAATGGCCTCTCTGATCATGGTAAGTAATAACTATAGATTTTCTCATTGAATCTGGTATGACATATAACAGCTTATCAACTCCACTAACTTTTATTTTCTTATATAATCTACCAGAGTCTATCTCATATCCTTTTACTAAATTTTGTTCATCTAGTTTTCTTTCTTCTTCTGGTTTTTTCAGAATGTCTATTATTTTATTTAATCTGGTATCATTTCTCTGCATCATTAGAACTCTTTCTTCTTCTGGTATTGTAATAAAAACTCCAAGTCTTTTTTCATATATTTCTTCTATCATACCGTCTGGATTTGAATCTTCAATAGCAGCTCGGCTTAGGCTATCTACATGTGACATTTTCTCTCCTGCACGATGTTTAATATCAAAACTATATTCTGACAGAGTTGTGTACCAACGAGCAATTTGTGGGTTTAAAGTTTTTTGTGCATTTAGATACACTAATGCTTGACAGTCACTTATAACGGTAAAATGAATACCTAACAACAATGTTCTAAGTCTCTCAACACACCAAACTATTGCTAATAATTCTAATCTAGATGAGTGGTATAGTTTTTCCGCGTCATTTGTCTTTTTGGAAACGCAATAAATTAAATGCATATTTTTGTCTGAACCCTCCTGGAGTAGTATACCTGCTACGCCCAAGCTGGAGGCATCACAGTGAAGTTCGGTACGGCTATTTGGGTTATAAAGTTGTAAAATGGGTGCCTGTTGCAACTTTTCCTTCAGTTCACTAAAAGATTTTTCCTGTAAATATCCCCACTTAAAAGTTTCTTTACCTTTTGTCAAATCGGTTAATGGTCGTGTTAAAACTGCATAATTTTTAATGAAACGTCTAAAAAATCCAGTTAATCCCAAAAATCTTTTAATTTCATGTTTATTCGTCGGTTTTGGAAATTCACTTATAGCACGAAGTTTTGTTTCACCCGGTTTAATTCCATTTTTTGTCAATGTAAAACCTAGAAATTTTATTGAAGTTTTTCCAAATTCACATTTAGACAGTTTGAAGGTTAATTTGGCTTTTGCTATTTCCGTAAAAACTAATCGAAGTTTATGTAACATATCGTCCCAATCTTTGGCAGGCACTAAGATATCATCTAAATAGGATACTACAATATTATTCCTCATAGGGCCCAGGACCATTGCCATAAGTTTTGAAAATTCATATGGCGCATTCACTAACCCGAAACACAATCTTTCAAACTCTGCAGTACCGTCTGCAGTTATGAAGG